AAAATGGCTGGAATTCCATCAATTTATAGTGCTTTAGAAAATCTAATTTAATGAGATTGCTAGCCACCAATCTTCAACACGTTCTTCACGGCGTCTTCAGCAGCTTCCAAGCCCCGAAAACGCAGCCGCAGCTTTTGGACGAGATTTTTGTGATTCGGGTGAAACCTGGAACGAGAACTTCGACCATCCCGAAGGATGAATCTTTATGCACCATGAGAACCATGGGCGGCCAGGCTTTTTGGAGGATTTTTTCGATGAAAGTCCTGGAATGTCCTGGAAGTCGAAATGTCAACATTTTTAAACATCGTCCAAAAACCAAAGTGACATAGCGATGCACTAGATATACCAGACATATTTTGGAACATGCCAAACTATGAGCCTTTATATATCATGGCTGCTAAAATACAAGATATTAAATCTAGACAAAACATCTGTCCATACTTTCCATTTTTGCACATGTCTTCTGTTTATTTCTGTTTCCAGAGTCGATTGAAGGCCCTAAAATCACCACTGGCCACTGTTGGAAAGGATCCCTCGCTTCTGAGAAGCTGCCACCTCAAACCTTGAGTTAGGAAGAAACACATATCCGACATATCCTACGCTCATCAAACAAGGCAATCAAACATATACCATCATTTAGTTAATGCAAATAATGTTAAAAAAAAACCTCGAGGTACCGGCGACCCGGTACCCATGTTTGATTACCTTTTGGGCATTCAGCTGGCGGATTCAACCCCAAAAAAACAGTTGTTCCATCAATGTGATTTCATCAACTCATCAACTCATCAACTCGAACTTGATTCATGTTAGTCTGGTTGGTGGTATACCTACCCCTCTGGAAAATATGAGTTCGTCAGTTGGGATGATGACATTCCCAGTATATGGAGAATAAAATTCATGTTCCAAACCACCAACCAGATATTACCCTCTGGTAATTTGTTGCATTGCTATTGAAAATGACCATAGAAATAATTAGTGGATTTACCCATTGAACATGGTGATCTTCCATAGAACTTGATTCATGTTAGTTGATAGATGTTGATAGGGATTCTGCACAGATTCTCCATGGATTCTGATTCTCTCATGTTTCCCCACGACCTAAACATGATGGCTGCCTTCTTTTTGCCTGAGAACTTTGATATAACAAATGCCCAAAGCTCTCCAAAGCTGCTTTGTATCTGAGTTGAAACATGTTGAAACCATCAAAAATTCATGGTACGTCTGAGTACTTCTAGCTCTTTCTGCACATCCGTATGGCAACCCCCGATCGAAGATACCGTGCATGCTGGGAGATCCACATAAAATTTGGGGCTTTAAACCATAAACCATGATGAATGTGTGAAGTATGAGGTTGAAAAGACACCATGTATATCCATTGATATCCATGTATCGTATTTGTTGATGAATTTGTCCTTTATTCAAAGTTTAATGTTTTCGATAAACCGATTGAGACACCAGAAACATCCAGTTCCGTTGAGGGTGCCGTAGACCCTCGAAATCCTCCAGACCCTCGAGCGCGAGAAAACACGGCAACCACTGTGGGTCTCGGGATAATTTTCATCATAATTCACGAAGCAAAAAAAAATTGGCCTATGGGTGGGATTTATCTCCCAGGAAAAAAGATGCGAAAATCAGACTCAATCATATCAAATTTATCAAATCATGATACTTGGTGGCTCATCCCACTTAGTAAGTGGGTTGTAACCCCAGTTATAAATGGGATAAGTAGGGTTAATCCACTTATAACTGGGGTTATAACCCACTTACTAAGTGGGATGAGCCACCAAGTATATATTCACATATATTCACAGTTGATCCCCAGTCATAGATGGTACACAATGCTGGAGTCTGCTGGATGGGATTTCCAGAAAGGTTTCCGCCGCCACGGCTTCTGTGTTCTGTCATTCAAATGATCATCCCAGAATACAGCCACGAAACATCCCACGAAACAACCATGTCCTTGATGAAATCCAGTAAAACCCTGATTTTGTTGCTTACATCCTTATTCTGTTTTGGTTAAATCCTTCCTTTTGTTGGTTATATCTCTATTTTTCTGCTTAAATCAGATTTTTTTTTGGGTTAAATCATGTTAAATCCAGGTTTTGGCTGCTCAAATCCATTTTTGTTTGGTTAAATCCAGGTGTTTGCTTGTTAAATTCCTATCCTTGACTATCATACATGTTTTTTTTGGGTCGTGATCAAATTTATCCCTCAGATAAATCGGCAGAACTCTCCGAGCCTCTTCGCTGGAAACCCAGCCGACGCTTGGAGAGAATCAAACACAGATTCTCAAAGATTTCGAAAACTGGTTGGTGGTTTTGAGCTCGCCACCCCTCTGAAAAATATGAGTCAGTTGGGATGATTATTCCATTCCCAACCATATATATGGAAAGTCATTCAAAATTCCATGGTTCCAGTAACCACCAACCAGAAAAAGTCACAGGTCGGGATCAGCTGAAGACCATTGAAAAAAAACTGCGGATGATGCCATCACTGACCCTACGTAGTGGATGGTTCAGAAATCCTGGACTCCAGGACCAAGAGGATGGTTTTGAAACTCTATAAATAATGAGATGATAACCACTCGTCAACTGGGGCAAGATTTCTGAACCATCCACTCGTCAACTGGCTGGTTCTGAACTGATGTGATATTCTTGATATTCGAGGTAAGTGAATTTGAGGCATAAATTTTCGCCCCATTTGCGTGACTGGTACTATACCATCACTATCACTGACTCGAAAAACCATGGGCCCGTGGGCTGTTTGGAAACAAACAGATCTTCGTGCACCTTTTGGGAACAATTCTGTGTATCATTGTGTAGCTCCAAAATGCTCCCGAATTCCTGGATACCTAGAACGCCCGATAGCCTGCCCGAACCACTTCCTCCGAAAAAACTGGTTATATGGGATGTTACATGGGTCATAGCTACTATATGGGCAGGGCATCAATTAACTCATATATTTGGCGAACATATGGGAATTCTACAGGATTTACCAACTAGAAATTGGCATAATCCCATCATCCCATCCCCATGCAAATCTGGGATTTGGGATCGCGTGGTTTGGAGGTATAAAAACAAGGGCAGTTCAATCCCCATAAAAAGTTTTTGACCCCATAAATTTAGAGATTGGGCCCCGGCCCGATTCTCAAAGATGTTTCGAAAACTGGTTGGTTGTTTTTCGCTCGCCAGCCCTCTGAAAAATGATGGAGTCAGTTGGGATGATGATTCCATTCCCAACCATATATGGAAAGTCATTCAAAATTCCATGGTTCCAGTCACCACCAACCAGTGATTATTAACCATATTATTAACCATCATTAACCATGTTTTTCGATGTTTTTTGCCAATGGCCAAACCCGACGATCGCGAAACTCCGAGGATCGGAGGAACACGAGAACGCGCTGTTCAAATACGAAACACTGCTTGGTGGTTTAGCCAACTTGTACATATGTCTAATATGTGGATGTTTGCGCATAAGAATGAACCACATGAAGACTTAAGGTCATAAGGTCATAACAAAAAAATCATCACATCATCATATATCATGGAATAGTTTGGGATAACTTTATCCAAAACGTCTGAATGACACATCATGAAACCACGGAGCAGCATACAAATACCGCATGAACGGATCCATCATCATCCACTGGCTGTTGAGACGTCCTATCTGCAGATCTAGAGGCCTGAAGATCTTGATACTTGGGAGTGCAACCTACCATTAACCTCTGGTAAAACTAACAGTTTGCGGAAAATCCTCATCTTTACTAGCAAAATTTTCTAAATGGGGGTGTTCAGTCGGAAATTGTATGAAATTCTTAGTTTGCTGGAGGCTAATTGGCGTACCATAAGCATAGTTGCAGGGGTTGTCTCCCAACTATCTCAACTTGTGGGGGTTGAACATCCCACCGGAATCAACCATTTTTTTTCCCAGCTGCACCTCCAACCAAGCCCCTCTCTGAAGCTAACTCGCCTACAGCCCCTTGGTCAGATATGGTCAAATGGCTGCTGAAATGACAACACTCCCTGAATTGGAAGTCGTCGCCATAAAAATTCCGATCTTTCTTCCAAATAATCCAAACACATGGGACAATTACACTTAAAATCACTTCCCAAAGCTGAGAGTAAGTTGGCCCCAACTGATATAAGTTGGCCCTAACTGATACGGCAGAACCGCCGTTGAATTACAATACCCTTCAGAAAATCAATAGAACATCATTCAGAAACGTATCAACCGAGGCTAGGCCAGTTTTCAGCATTTTCTTGGATCCATCCATCTACCCTCTGGTAAACTAACAGTTTGCTATTGAAATAGTTAATTTTCCCATTCAAAGTGGTGATTTTCCATCGTTTTTTGGGAGATTTACCAGAGGTTAAACCTCCATTAATCACCAATTTTTATCCCATAAAGAAATCACCATGAAATCCCAGAAAAAATCACCATTCATCACCAGTTTACCAGAGGCTACAAATTTGAGAAAACTCTGCCGTGCGCCATGGTCAGTTGGACCTCTCGGATCCAAACATCATGGATCCGCTGGAAATTCCTATGGATTCATGACCGGTAAACCCCAAGAAAAATTGCTACATATGCGCACACACACACACACGCATGTTCAAACACACACATGTGTATATATATATATATATATAGTATATATATGTATATATATAATACATATATATGTATATATATATATATGTGTGTGTGTGTGCACATTTGCACATGTGTACATATATCGGTTCACACCACATCTTATCCAGATCATCCAGCAGTCGTGAAATTATAGATGATGAATAGAATTCATTGTAAAGCAGTATATCTGCATTAATATTTCAATGGAAATTTCAAGATCCTAAAATGGAGGTACTGTACCATATAAGGCCATATTTTCTGGGGGTATTCCCTTACATAGGCTTTACATAGGCCTTATATATGGTAGGTACCTCCAATTCAGGTTCCTGAAATGGCCATTGAATCTTCCACTATGTTTTTCATAGCCAAGATAAAAGCCAAGACTGCCATGACCATGGCACCATGGCACCAGTGACGCATCGCATCATCGAGTGATCGAGTGATCGCCACCTTGGCGACAAGGTGGCGCAAGCGCCACGGAGCAGCTGGTGGCCGCCTGGTGGCAACGGGGAGTTTGAGAATTAACCATCCAGTTATTGGGCTACCCAACTTGGACCCATACCCATTTTTGTAACATTATATATATATATATATACGTTAAATATATAAAGTAACACAGAACTCACGATTTGTGGATGTTAATGATGTTAATGATGTTAATGGAAAATCTCGAAGTAAATAAAGGTTCATCGTTTGTTGGGAAAAGAATCTAAATGGTGAATTTTCCAGAAGAGGGTACTCCAACTATAGACACCATAGTATTCATATTCAAGAAACGTTAGTTACACCTTGGAATAATATAGTAATTTTAACTATAACTATCGGAAAATATGGTAACTGGTAACTATAGTATCCAGCCTTGATATTCATGAGGCGAAAGTAAAGCAAACCACCTTCATTACGGGGCCTAGTCCGGCGGTTGGCTATGGAAATATGATGAAATATGGTCATTTCCCACGGAAAATCGTTGAATTACATTGAATTACTAGGGGGTAAATCGATTTCCCAGTTAAACTCTGGCCATTAAATGATACAATACAGCCCACATGAATCACCGATGTGCTTTTATCAAGTCTTCTGGTAAATTAACAGTTGGACTCCATGAATTAAGAACTTTTAGAAAGAAAAATTGTCCAACCCTTTGTCCAACCCTTGTCTGATTATGGTAATTTACGGGATAGTAGTTTTAACTCCAAGAAAACACTGAACAGTTTGAGACTGACGTGCAAAAAAACCCAGCTTTAACGTCATGCAGCTGTTTGGAAACCATCCGTAATGTGGCCCTACCTCCAATGCTGGGCACTCTGTGAGTTAAAAACATATGGGGATGGGTCAAAACCCTGGTACCTAGTGAACCCCAAAATAGCTGGTAAATGGATGTTCATCCCACTAAAATGGTATTAATAGGTATTGACCCATAGCAATATTGGAAAATTTCTAAGTGTAAATCTGAGGGCTGTTTTTCTAAGATCCTCTGCCTTGCCTTGCCTCAAAATCCACCGGTTCTTAATCATTTTCCCCAGTGTTTTGTTGTGAATTTGTGGCTATGACCCATTTCCAATCGCATCCATTGGTCTGAGTAAATCATATTACACTCTGGTTATTTAACTAACATAGCCATGGAAAATATATCCCATAGAAATAGATGATTTTTACATGATGATGTACCTATTAAAAAAGGTGATTCTCCAGTTCGCTACGTTAGTCATAACCAGAGGCTAATGAGCAAACACCTGAAAAAGTCACATGACTCTTTGGGATACCCTCTGGTAAGGACTCACATAGCGAACATGGTCATGAAATGTTCGTTGATATTCCCATAGAAATAGATGGTTTACCTATTAAACATGGTGATTGTCCATGGCTATGTTAGTCATAACCAGATGGTAGCTATTGAAAATGGCACATTTATAGTTGGTTTACCCATTCAAAAGAATGATGTTCCATCGCTTTTTGTGTGTTTAGCAGAGGGTAAACACACCCCAATCCTAACCATGGTCCATGTCCCATGATATTACCATTTTAGCATCATTTTTCTTGGTGACATCACCATTTTCCCTATTGTTTCCTTCAAGGTCACTAAAACTATCCTATTACCATCTGGTTATGACTAACATAACCATGGAAAATCGCCACTTTTAATAGGTAAACCAGCTATTTCTATGGGCCATGGCTTCCATGGCGATGTTAAATAACCATCTGGTTGGGTATATCCCATGATATCAGTAGATTACCACTGATATTGTGTGCTGTTCACCAGAAACATCGCCAAATACACGACCCAAACATGGCAACAGCATGTTTGGAACACCAGGAAGATAGGAAGCACCAGGATATTCCACGAAGATTCCTGTGAGAATCCCATCCCCCTAATCTTCAACACACCTCAACTGTTCCCAAATAATGATTATAATCTCCTACTACCCTCTGGTAAACTAACAAAAAACTATGGAAAATCACCACTTTTCATGGGAAAACTCACTATTTCAATGGTGATTTTCCATAGTTTTTTGTTAAATTACCAGGCCGGGTAAATTATGGTCTCTCGGGTGTCTAAAAAATGAATGGGGGAAAGGGATTCATCCATAATGATTTTCTACATCCATGGCCCATGGGAGATCTCCAGGATCCCAAAGTGGAGGTACCCGGCCTGGTAATTTAACAGTTTGCTATTGAAAATGGCCATTTATAGTGAGTTTTCCCATGAAAAATGGTGATTTTCCATAGTTTTTTGTATGTTTACCAGAGGGTACCATATGTTTGTCCATATTTTGGGGGTATATATCCCCCAAAATTTAGCCCTAGAACAATAGGCCTAAAATTCAGAAAGGTAGGCACCTCCAATTTTTATCGGTTCCAGAATTGGCTGAAGAAACAAACATGTTTGATATTAGTGACATTATCCATAGAGTGGTTGAAACAATGTCATAAACCAGCCATTTGGGAATGGTTTATAGCACCTACAAAAATCGTGAAATTGGGGATGGTTTATTATTGTTTTACCTACATGATATGACATTATATTATGAATCATTATTGGCATGCCGATATTGGAATACTTATTATCAATAATGTCCTTTTTGTAAAAATAGAGGGGCCGGGAGCTGGTATACCAGCTATCATCATTTACCTCTTGCCGAAGGGCTTTCTTCAAACCGCTCTATTATAGAATCAACCAACCAATGGGAAAAGGACATCTATGGTAATGTCAACCCCGGAATAATAAACCATCTTATTAATTCGGTGGTGCTTCCCCAATAGTCATTTCATCGGATACTTCAATGATGTTCCCCAATTAAACAGCCGTTTGGGGTTTGTTGGTGGTTTTTCGCCACCCCTCTGAAAAATGATGGAGTCAGTTGGGATGATTATTCCATTCCCAACCATATATGGAAAGTCATTCAAAATTCCATGGTTTCAGTCACCACCAACCAGTGATTATTAACCATCATTAACCATCATCCATGGTTCCAAAGCACCAACCAGATTGGACTTGTCCTTATTCCACATCCCTTCTCCATATCCCCAGCCACCATCCACCAATATCCACCATCCATATCATCCACCTGCAGGCAAGGTCTGAAAACCAAGTCACATTACTGCTGCCACAAGCCCAACCTACCTGGGCTCGCGACCGAACAACGGGAAACAAATTGGGGTTTAGGGACCTGAAACCTCCCGAAATCTCTGACTTTCTGGCGATTCTATGCTGATGTTCGGGTAATTTTTACGAAATCTGGACTTTGAGGCCAGAATAGAAAGAATAGAAACTGCATCTTAGTGTGGCTGAACTAGACATAGCCAAAGCAAATCATCAGATGAAGGCTTGATTTTCAGGGCCCAGGGGAGCTTACAGCAACATCCTACCATGGCCATGATAGGGACATCCTCAAGGACCGAAGCAATGGCTCCATCACTGGTTTTCCCCCGAAAAAAGAGGTCGTCCAAAAAAAGGGATTCCCTAAATAATCCAAAATTCGACAGCGGACATGTGGAGCATCCAACGCATCCACAATGACCCCAAGCACTGGTGGCGGATCCAAAATTAGGCTATAATCCGAACATAATTTAATAATCTGGTTGGTGGTTTCAATCCCTCTGAAAAATTAGTCAGATTGGATCATCATCCCAGCTATTGGGGAAAATAAAACATGTTCCAAACCACCAATCAGTAATGAACCTGTATGGTTTTGGGGTACTCCCCTTTTAGGACACCTCTATTGCCCAGGGACATGGCGCTAAGACTGTGATGCAACGTTGAAGAGCCAACTAAACTGGGCAGCATCACTCCTCAATGCACGAAATGCAACGCCCATGTCAAGCCTGCTTGATGGCTCAACCCATTTGATAAGTGACTAACTGACTAACTAAGCCCCAATTACAATTGGACTAAGCCTACTTATCATTGGCTTAGTCAACTTCTAAGAACTTCTAAGCCATTTACTTTGTCGCGTTTGAACCCCATCAAGTAATATCAAGTATTACTGGCTACAAAATTCATCACTCAGAAAACTTCGGCATTTTGATGGCGGATCATTTGAAGCTACACCGATGGGTTCCAAGGATCCAGCGCGCTCTACACCTATTGTGAGAGCTAAGGGGATTAAACTTGATATATCCCCCTTGAAATAAGGCTTTCTTTTGGTGCAGTACTTCTACCTGACATTCCCATTGTTTTTTGACTGCAACATATGGAAGCATTTTGTTGAAGTTGTTTAAGTCTTTGCTCTCGAAATTTCTGATACGAGGTCGCACGACGAAAAGCATAAGCTGTGTCCAGGAGCTTTGCAGTTGAATAGCTTGATCTTGGAGTTTACCTCGGCACTAGGATGACGGAACGTCAGCTGAGAATTTCTGTGGAAGTGGAATGAAGTGGACACGTGAAGAAATCTGCCCGTGCAAGAAATAAGAGCATAGAGAATCACTGAATAACCACTTTTTATCCCCCAAGCCTATATATTATATCTTAAGATATCTTAAGAGGTTTAGACATAAATCGATTAATGTGAAATCATGATACGGATTTTTCTGTATGAAGACTTCTTGCTGAGAACTTTTTTGTGTGTCAGCTCGCCGTGTTGGACATGTCGCTTACTTGTCTACCGACGTTGCTCTGTGCGCCAGGTTGCTCTGTGCATCTAAAAGTAGGTAGCATTTTCTGCCCATGTTCATGAGCAAATTGCCCATATCCTGGCCGTGACAGGTGGCGAGAAATCACATGAAATCACTTGGTGGCGAAAAAGCCGCAGCCAGTTCACCCCAGTTTTTTCACTGGCTGTACCCTCCAGTCATCCAGTCATTTGCCTTGGGGAAACCAACTCGTTCCATGGATTTTCCCAACCATCCATGAATAGTTCGGTGACTTGTCCATCCCCAAAGTCTATCTTAATATACCATTCATACAAGTCGTGAGGCCACCGGCCACGATAGCGTTCAGTTGGGGCTCACATAACTCCAATGTCACTATCGTTTGTGGTACTTATAACTATAGTTACTGGGACTTATAAACCAACAGACATCACTGGGGGGGCCACATTGTATACCATCAATCACCATTAGTATACCATCCATATACCATCCATATACCATTAATATACCATTAATATACCATTAATATACCATTAATATACCATTAATATATCATTAATATACCATTAATATACCATTAATATACCATTAATATACCATTAATATACCATTAATATACCATTAATATACCATTCACCACCATTAATGGGTAATTTTGAACCATCCCCAAGTTTGGTAGCTTTGGCAGCCAGGGTTGCCCACACATTAAGCCAGCCCCGACCTTGCGCAGGGTAGCGATCAAGCAAAGCAGTTCCTCCTTGACATCTCCTGTCCTCGAAGCGTGGGGAAGTCGTAGGGAAATCATGGAAAAATATGAGAACATCCAGTATACCCTCTGGTAAACTAACAGTTTGCTATAGAAAATGGCCCGTTTAGTTCGTTGATTTACCCATTAATAGCATGGTGAGTTTCCATAGTATTTTGTAGGTTTACCAGAGGGTAAATGGAGCTTGCTGAGAAAATCATCGAACTATTTGGCCGTGGCTTCCTTGGATGTTGCAACCACCATTTCTGGTAGGTCATTTGGGATGGGAAAATCGACGAAAACATGGGGATGTTCCATTGCTATGTTTGATGACACCAAAGGGTGAATATACATATTACATATATATATATATATATAATATGCTTATTAAGAATACACACCCTTATTTTTCAATATATTATATGTTTGAACCTTAGATGCAAAATAACATATACATGTCTATATGTGAATGTGCGTGAAATAGGTCAAAGAAATCCTAAACCCTAAATTTCATGAACATGAAACAACATCAATATATATATATTTCAAACATTTACTTACATTTAAAAAAATGTCATATGGTAATTCAATGCGACGAACTGGAACATCAGCATTTTGTAGCTAGGTAAATCACAGTTTTAAATCATCTATAGCAAACTGTTGAATATTGAATAAGCAAAGGGCATTTGTGTATATAAACACATATTTCGCATAGACACAAACACACACACATATATATATACATTTAGGTATATATATATGTATATATATATATTTATGTATATAAAATTATATATGTATATTATGTATATATATATTGTATGCGTGTATATATTTATAATTATGTCCATCATGCATGTAATTTCAGTTGGCACCAGTTTTCCCCGGTAGTCCAAGCAACATGGAGCTAGCTATCTCTGTCATTCGGCTCAACGACGAGTGTAACGTCTGTTCTGCCTGGGTATCCAAGGTTTTTTCGGCGACATGTGGGGGTGCTATAGATAACTGGTTGGTGCTTTTAACCATCTTGAAACATATTAGTCAGTTGGGATTCTTATTCCCATATATGGAGAAATAAAAAATGTTCCAAACCACCAACCAGATAAATATATCTACATTTAAGATCATATCATATTATAGAGATAGATAGATAGATAGATAGATAGATAGATAGATAGATAGATAGATAGATAGATAGATAGATAGATAGATAGATAGATAGATAGATAGATAGATAGATAGATATATCTACTAGGTGTGCTATTATAGATAGATGTCATAACGGCAACTCTTTAACCGCATGTCGTCAAAAACCCATGGGCGGTTGATCAAAAATGACATCGGGGGTGAACCTCTCAAGTAGATTAAACCAACCAGGCTTTACCAATCCATGGTTGACATTTTTTTTTTAAATAGTGGGTTTTTATATGTTTGTATGAAATTATATGAAATTGTTGGTGCCTACAAAACTGCTTAAAATCCTAATTTCCTCATCATAGCGTCCTATATTTTCCCATACAAATAGCCCATTGGGGTGATGATCTCTAAACAATCCCAGTGGGCGAGTTGTGTTCTTCTGCTTGCCATGCCATGCCATGCATTCCAGCGAGATTTCTTTGGGGTTTCTAAAATAATATGGTTACAGTAGCCTCAGTTCTCCATGGATTTTCACAAAACCATCCATTTTAACATGTTTTGGAATGATGTTTCAAAATTGGTAAATAAAGGTTTAAGTTTTCAAAATGTTCAACATCTATGTTTTCAAAATCCCAAAAGTGGACATGCCTCTGTGTTTTGTTAACATTCATGGATGTTCAAAATTCACAAACCATCCAGCCAGCTAATTGGGCCCCATGCCTCATGGAGAATCCCATGGGATCCCTTGGATGAAGCCATGACCGGACCATCGAGACACAAGTTGTAATTCGCGTAAGCTCTCTCCCACTGGACCTTGAGAGGTCGGTATATGTCCTGCACCGGTCGATGATTCACATCTGGGGGAGCCGTGACGTGACTAAGCGAAGCGATATCACGATATCAGGCGCAATTCAGGCGCATATGGATCCAGACTTTTTGATGCACACAAAAAATTATACCCTCTGGTAAATTATATAACATTATTTAACATTACTATGGAAAATCATGACGTTATCTCCAAGCCTGCTGGCAGTTTGCCAATCAGTGACATGCTCGTCCATCGCAGTTTTTTTTGGCGGTGATTTGGGCCGATTTAGGCGCTATCAACTGCTATCATCACGCGGAAACCAGCAGAATCCCACAAGAACATCCCCATCAGCCTTCCCCCCCCCCAAAAAAAAAACATCAGAAGTCTCCTGAGAAACTCACCGGCGCGCTGAAGTATTTCGCATCTTCCGAGGTTTTTGATGCGACCAATTGACGCTGAACCTTTTGAAAACGATCCAATTGCTCCATGAAAGTGGACAGTTGGTGCTGATGCGCCACCAGAACCTGCATAAGGTCGCATCGCGCAATGCGATGCGACGACACGAAATTCACGACTTGTGACGTGTTTTTTTTTTTTGTGGGGGGGGTCTCACTTTAAAAACCAAGTCCCAAAAATGATTTATATAATGGCATGATTGGCTACCCTCTGGTAAACTAACAGTTTGTTATTGAAAATTGCCATTTATAGTTGAATTACCCATAAAAAATGGTGACTTTCCATAGTTATGTAAACGTTTACCTGAGGGTAATGCCACAGTCTTTTCTTTATGTTTTTTGTTGGTTTCTCCAAGACCTGCTTCCCGTTGAAACCGACATCAACCTGGTTTCAGGCTTTGGAATGAGGGACTCATGGCTTGGTAAAAACTGTGGATAAACTCCATCTCCACCAGTTGCGACAAACAAGCCATGACCGTCTCATCATTTACAGGCTTTCATAGTTACCAATACTTGGTGGCTTATCCCACTTAGTAAGTGGGTTATAACCCCAGCTATAAGTGGATTAACCCTACTTATTCCATTTATAACTGGGGTTACAACCCACTTACTAAGTGGGATGAGCCACTAAGTAGTTACCAATAGTTACCAACTGGTGCTGGATTTTGTGCAACAGTTGGACCCATTCTGGCTCAAAAAATGCTAGCTGCTAGCTAATATGTCAAACCTCAGTAAATTGTGGCTCAACATGCCCAAATTTGCTGGATATACGCGGCCTGGTAAACGTTTACAAAAAACTATGGAAAATCACCATTTTAATGGGAAAACTCACTATAACTGGTCATTTTCAATAGCAAACTGTTAAATTACCAGAGGGTACCGCCATTTCCATTGCCTGTACTTACCCTTCTGTTTGCTGTGTGTGTGTGTGTGCATGTGCCTCTGTGTGTGTTGTGCAACATGCATCCATCATGTGTTAGCCATGCCTTATGCCTCTAACTCCTGCTACAACAGGCCGGCCACTCTTGGAAACTCTTGGATGCCCTGCCCATTTTTTGCAAAAACAATGCAAATCATGAGGGATTATATATTAATTATATAATCTGGGTAAATTATAATATTTCACTAAGCTGAAGAGTTCGGCTATATGGAAAATTACCCCATGATTCCAGGGAGGTCACTATTCTTGTATATGGTCACCAAAATTACCAAGAAATGTATTGACGACCTCTATTTTTGTTGCGCATCAGATCCAGCCATCCAGCATCATCCAGCTGCCTTCTGTCGCTGTATGAAGTCTTTCACTTGCCGCTGGTGTTCTTCCGTTTGGGCGCCTGACTTCTGTGAATCCTCCTGCAACTCGCTCACACGCCGCCTGCAAAAAAGAACGGGGATATGTGGGGATAGAAGCAACGAACTTTGGCCAAGATCTCAAACCTGTCATGGTCAACACATCCTGGAGCAGTTCCGCACTTCTAACAATCTCTCCCTCTGAGCTTGGGAAGTGGTTTGATTACCTTATTATGGGAATGGTAATTGCCCACATTTTTGATTAACTTTAAGTGGTTTGATTACCATTGATTACCATCATAAGGGGGCATTATCATGTATTCTGGTACAACCACTCACAAATTGCCCACATTTTTGGGGCTGCCATGGATGCCATGGTCAGAGCATCCAATTTGGCGTCACTTGACGCCCAAGTTTAACCATGCTTGTGAAAGTGCATAAACAACAAAAGACGATAATTCTAGATTGTTTTTTTTTAGGGATTCTGCCCAACTTATGGAGGTTTGTCGATGGTTAAGCTAGCTTAAGCTCCCATGATTATACTATGTTATACTGGATGCTGGTTGGTGGTTTTTCGCCACCCCTCTGAAAAATGATGGTTAGTGAGTTCGTCAGTTGGGATGATGACATTCCATTCCCAAGTGTTTCTGGAAAGTCATGAAAAATTCCATGGTTCCAGTCACCACCAACCAGAGTTGTACTGTTATGTGCTAAACTCTGGTGAACCAACATAGCAATGGAAAATCACCATTTTTCATGGGAAAATCCACTATTTCAATGGCCATTTTCCATTGCTATGTTAGTTCACCAGAGGGTAGATGTTATTTCGTCATGACTTAGTCCTTCAGAGCTCCAGCCATGATGAAACGGCCCCAATGGCCCCAAGCGATGATGATCCGATGGATCCCGGGCCTCAAGTCTTTGACTTCCGTAAGGGCTTGATCTCTTTCTTCTCGCAAACTCCTCGGCCCAAGCGGCCATTGTTCCAAGCATTGTTCAGAAACCCAGTGTTATGGAAACGTCTCTGAACATATCTCTGGGCAAATTAAAAAATAAGTCACCAAGCTGAAAAGTTCGGCCATTTGGGGATGATTCCCCCTGTAAAAACCATGATGATCATGATTCCAGGCTTCGGGAGAACGACGTGAGGTCGTGATACAATTTACCCAGATAGACATCCCCACCATGTGGTATCCCATAGCTGAAGTTTATTTTGTCGCCAAGAAGGCGACCCAAGCTCCTGAAGTTGTGGCTAAACCCTTCCACCACGAATCTGCTTGCATCACTTTGGATTTTTTCCGTGAAAACATACGAGATCTCAGCAAATCTTGGAGTTACCATAATTTTCCGATCTGTTTGAGGAATTTGAGGATCAGGAAAACACTGAACACCACCGTTTTGGTTACCCAATTTTATGCAATTTTAAGATCAGGAAATTGAGACCGAAACGTCCCCCCATCATTTGGTGCTTTAACCAAGAGATTTCCGTCGTTTGCCACGCCAAACCGTTCGCATCTCATCATGTTGTTCAGAGTTCGCCCAATTTTGGCTGGCCAAACCCTTCACTATCCAGTCAATGGTCAATAACCAGATTCTCACCAAGTTTTCTGTGGTTCATCTGCATTTTTTCCGAACAGAGACATCATAAGCATTTCCCACTAATCGGTTAAAACCCCCACCATTCACCATCATTTGCTTAAAAGACCAACAGCTAGAAACTGCGGGCAATGATTTTGGTTAATGAGTGCTCAAACTTGCATATCCTACAGGATGGGGCCCCCCAGTTATAAGTTGGTTTATAAACCATTATAATCATCATTAACTAGTTCGTCATATCTACCATAAACCATTGAATTCAGCCACAAAAATAAACCAACTGAACGCTATCGACTGGGGGCCCTATCCTGTATTTAATTACCATTTTCTTAAGCACCCATGGCCATGGCCGCATGGCCCCACAGTGGGCAAACGTAGCTGGGGTCCCACAGTGGATCATCCGTCAGGAACAAAACAACGCTGATGACTTAAATGGGGTATCAATTACCCGGTAAGGTTATTCTTTAATAGGTAATCGATACCAGGTAAATATTGATAGGTAATTGATAACCTTTGGTTATTCATCTATAATCTTTACTATGGTTTAATATACTGATTTAATAGGTAAATAATCATGTTTATCATGTTAAATAACCAGAGGGTATAATAAATCATCAATACTAATAAATAATAAATCATCTATATTGGTATTCAATAATCATAAATAATCATAAATCATCTATAAATGGGCCATTTACAATAGATATATTAAATAAAAAAGAGATGGTATTTATTTCTATGAATGTTTTGATGTTGAAAACCTCTATTATTAGTGGTCGAGTTCATCAACCAGGGGTACGTAAAAAAACAAAATACTAACCACATAGTGTTTTAGGATATTCCTGACCTCCGGTAATTTAAGAGGTTGCGAGCTGCAAAAAATCCTTTTTGAGAGGCAAATTATCATAATCATCAAAGTAATGGGCCAATTTTTCAGTAATCATCATCATACATCTACATCTACATCTACATCTATATCTCTCTCTATATCTCCATCCATCTATCTTTCTCTCTCATATTAGGATCTTCCATAGTCATGTATCCATCTACTATACTTCAGATAGATACATGTTCAATCTATACTCATTAGTTATACTCATTGAATTTGCCATGGCTATTTGTATCGTATCCTGAGCTCCCCGGCTTCATCTCTTCCGCCGCGAGCTGCAGCCACTTGGCAGATGCGGCCTGGCTTCAACAGTGGATGGTAGCGAACTAATCCCTTTAAAAATCCCATCATATTCCCATGGCATCCCATGGCTCCCAAGAAAAATCGCTCCCAAAATCCAAGTGTTTTGCTCCCAATGTTTCACAATTACCAACTGCTTGGTGGTTAAACAACCACCTTGAAAAATATGTGAGTTCGTCAATGGGAAGGATGACATATGATGACATCCCATACCCTCTGGTTATTTAACATAGCCATGGAAGCCATGGCCCATTTATAGATGGTTTACCTGGGTTTACCTATTAAAAATGGTGATTTTCCATGGCTATGTTAGTCATAACCAAATGGTATATGAAATGGAAAGTCATAAAATTCCATGGTTCCAAACCACCAACCAGCCAATAGTTACATACGAACTGGTTCAGCACTTCCCCACGATCCAGTGGAGAAGCTGGATGGTAACCCGGTAACCCTAGCCCCCCATTCGCATCTAGAAATGGTGGGGGTTCCACATCGAGATGGGTTAGTTTACAGGAGGTATTATATACATGTCCTAATTATCTGACATGTGGTAAACCCACTGTCATAAACATACAAAAAAAGGGGATCATTTATACAATCCAATAAACATGATGATTTTGAGAATGGCTTATATCATTGGGCTTACCACACTACGCAACTATTGGGGATATAGTAGTCCCACAAGACACGGATCTTCATTTATAGCTTTTGCTGTCCAAAGCTGAGGCCCACAGATGACCAGGAAAAATGGTAATCCCTAGCAATTCCCACACAAGTGGCTCCAAACAATCAAAGCGTCAAGTTCGTTTGACACACAAAAAATGTATTAACCCCTTCCCCCTACTATTAAACACCACCTTAGGAACCATGGTTTGTTAGGCAATTTCCACATCATTGGCACATTTTTATTCGAGGTGTTTCATGGTTTCATATTAGGGTCATGGGATTCTGGTTTTCCAGGTGCACTCTGGTAAACGTTTACATAGCTATAGAACATAGCCCATATTTATATCCATTGAAATAGTTGATTTACCATATTTACCTATGAAAAATTGTGATTTTCCATACCTATGTTAGATGACCAGAGGGTAGGTAATAGTAACATCTGGCTATTTAACATAGCCATGGAAAATCACCATGTTTAATAGGTAAACCCAGGTAAACCATCTATAAATGGGCCATCTATACCATGGCTATGTAACAAATAACCAGAGGGTATGGAATGTCATCATATGTCATCCTCCCCATTTACGAACTCCATCCGGTGATTTCTCCACCATCCGGTGAAAGGCGCCGGCCTCCGCACTGGGCTCCAATCCTGCATAAGGCGCCGATGGCACCTTTCGCGACGCGATGGCACTGGAGATCGCCGTTGTGTTTTTACGGAACATGGGGAGATTCGTCAGATGTGGGGCAGCCTATTTCTGATTTTTATCATCCAAATTTTGGACATATAATTTGATAAATGATGACTGATGATTAGCTTGGAATGATTTTGGGAAAACCTATTCTCAAAAAAAAACACATTTTTTTGGGAAAGATAAAGATGAGAGTTGAGTACCATCTGGTTATGACTAACATAGCCATGGAAAATCCAAAAAATAAACGGATGTTTCTAGCTGGGAAAATCATCTATTTCTATGGGCCATGGCTTCCATGGCTACGTAACAAATAACCAGAGTTGAGCACTCCTTCAGAGATATCACCGGTAAGCCACGATGTAATTCTGGACCTTGAGGACTGAAAAAGGAGAATTCCACGTTTCAGGCATGGCTTCACTCAATGACCCCTAAAAAATCTGACTTTGAATTGATGGGGTATAAATTTTCTTTGCGATTTTGAAGGCTCATGTGTGAACCAAATCTAATGGCTTTCGATATCCCCTTCTTTTCTGGGACTTGGGGGTGCCCGCACTTCTCATCCATTTCTTTGGTTGGATTTTCCCTGAAATAAACCATCTATTTTGGGACCTCCATTTCTGGAATTCCCCTAATCAACGGAGAATGATCCTCCGAGAAACGAACATATCACCATCTTTCCTAGGTAAATCATCATAAATCATCAAACTACATAGAGTTATAGCATGTTATGGCCCTTTACCAGTACTTCTAACTCTATTTATGGAACGTATAAATCCCATTTATGATTTATAACCAGGTATTGCCCTCTGGCAATGACTAACAGTTTGCTATTGAAAATTGCCATCTAGTTCGTTGATTTTACCAACAAAATAACATGGTGATTTTCCATCGTTTTTTTCTAGGTTTACCAGAGGTTAAACCTCCATTAATCACCATTAGATCCCATAAACAAATCACCATGAAATCCCATAAAAAATCACCATTCATCACCAGTTTACCAGACCCATATGCTCCATGTATGGTATATTTACCTACATTTGGGTGATTTTGTTCGGGCAAATGTTGGTAAATATTCCAGCACCATGGAGCATATGGGAGAGGGTAACCACGTTTTTCGTTGGCAAACGGCCGGCTTCACCATCACCCATGGCCCATATGGCTTCGATCCCACCTTTGATCTGCTCATGGGAGGCGGTGATGGTGAAGTCGGAGAGGGCTCGTCCGACTCGTGACCCTGGGGACCCTGGATGGGGACGCTGCTAACATACGGTGGGCCAGCGAAATCCTGAGTTCATAGGTGGTTGTTTAACCAGTTTATCTCATTATTCATAGGGTTTTAACATGTTTTCACCATCCAAAATTGTTGGTGCAGGATGCAGGATTTCGCTGGCCCATCCACAGTAGCTATCCATTTTTTTTACTCAAATAGCACCATGTTACCAGCAAATTGAAGCTGGAAAAACTGGTGATTTACAGCCCAATTTTTTTTTAAAAAAAACTGACGTTAGTTTACCAGTACTGTAACTATAGTTACAAGAACCATAATTATTGGAGTTATAGATCCTTGCCGGTTTCCATAGATACTGTGGATGGGCCGGCGAAATCCTGCACCAGTTTCAATCATCCAACCTCATCCAACCATGGTGGTGGAGGATTTCGCTGGCCCATCATAGATGCAGAGGTTTCTTGAAATATGGCTACCCCAAAGCCGTGGTTTTCAGAAACATTTAGAAGCTACCCTCTGGTAATTTGTTACAGTTTGCTATTGAAAATGACTTATTGAAATAGTGGATTTAGCCATTGATAGCATGGTGATTCTCCATAGTTATGTAAACGTTTACCAGAGGGTAAATTTTGGATGATTTGGGGATCGCCTCATTTTAGGAAAGCTCCATAATACCAATGGGACTTTCAGGAACCTAAATTGGAGGTAGCTACCATATATAAGGCTTTTTTCAATGCCTAAATTTCAGGGGATATCCCTCCAAAATATGGCCAAACATATGGTACATTTACGTACCTCCATCAATTGGATCCTACAGATCTCCCATTGAGTTAATGATAGTAATTACCCTAGCGGCTCCCGCAATGTACCCCGACGGATCCCCAGTTTGGCCTGGCATCATAAACGTGATAATATCACGTAGAATAGTATAGAATATCAATGAAACTAGATGGGGATGGGTCTATTAACCTATTAACCTATGATTCATTTCTTATTGCCATATTTTGAGAGTACTATAGGTACCAGGGTTTTGCCGATGATAGCCATCATGAAACCAACAGCCGATTGCCGATTCATCCACCCAAACATGACAATCGCTGGGGGTCGTCCCACTTGTGAGTCTCACACTGACGCTTGAACTAAAAAAATACTTTACTTCGAGTTATCCCCACCATGACATTTATACATTTTGTCACTGGCAAATCTTCTGGCATTCTATCTGACATACCTTCTGGCATTTTATCTGGCATATCTTCTGGCATTCTATCTGGCATATCTTCTGGCATTCTATCCGGCATATCTTCTGCAATCTGTTCTGGCACATCTTCTGGCACTCTATCTGGCATTCTATCTGGCAAATCTTCTGGCATTCTATCTGGCAAACATTCTGGCACTTTATCTGGCATACCTACTGGCATTCTATCTGACATTCTATCTGGCATACCTTCTGGCATATCTTCTGGCACATCTTCTGGCACTCTATCTGGCATTCTATCTGGCAAATCTTCTGGCATTCTATCTGGCAAACATTCTGGCACTTTATCTGGCATACCTACTGGCATTCTATCTGACATTCTATCTGGCATACCTTCTGGCATATCTTCTGGCAGTTTGGCTGGCATATCTTCTGGCATTCTATCTGGCATATCTTCTGGCATTCTATCTGGCATATCTTCTGGCATTCTATCTGGCATATCTTCTGGCATTCTATCTGGCATTTTATCTGGCATTCTATCTGGCCGTTGAGGTCCTGCACACTGAGCTGGGACGGTCCCAGGTTGAGGTCCAGCGGTGCACACTGAGCTGGGCAGGTCCCAGGTTGAGGTCCAGCGGTGCACACTGAGCTGGGCAGCTCGCAAGTTGAGGTCCAGCGGTGCACACTGAGCTGGGCAGCTCGCAAGTTGAGGTCCAGCGGTGCACACTGAGCTGGGCAGCTCGCAGGTTGACGTCCAGCAGTGCGCACTGAGCTGGGAAGTTGGCGAAGACTTGGCGATGAGTTGGCAAGGTTGGCAAGGCGGAAGTGGAGGTGGAAGAGGCGGAGGCGAGGAGGAGGGCGAGGAGGACAGCTAGTCAAGGAGGAGGAGGAGAAGGAGGAGGCGGAGGAGGAGGAGGAGGAAGTGGCGGGCATGCGCTCTGATAAAATCTAACAACCCTCACCTGGCAGGTGGGGAAATACATTCTGAAAACCATATTTAAGGCGTCCCAAACTGGTGGATTCTGGTGGTCAATCCTTGGCATTTGATACCCTGGATACCAATCCTTGGCAACCCACAAAAAACAAGAAATTGCTGCAGCTTGTGGTTGTTTATGTTGTTTTCTGATAGCAAAAAGCCGAAGGATTTTTTACTGCCCGTCCAATCGGATTCCCAGGATTCCCAGCTTGGGGATGGAACGTTAAGGCTAAGGATGGGTAAACGACTTGCTTGGCAAACCACTGGCAAAATGTATAAAATGTCAACCTGGAACACGGATCTTCGAGACCGTGCTCCACTTCCGAATTTCACCTTTTTCAAGCAATCCAATATTTTGTCATGTTGACCCCCGATCAATGCCCCTGAAGAGGTCTAGTAGTGTCGATTACCAATGCATCATCACCATTTTGGGGAGAACCTTTATCTTGCAACCCCCTTACCAAACAAAAACACCAACCAAATCCAGTAACATCCAATTCATTGGATTGGTTTAAGGGAAAATTTACAGGAAACCTCTATATTTAATGGTTAAAACCATAATTTCCTGTAGATTTTCCCTTAATAGCACCGTTTCTACATCGTTTTTGGTGCTACGACGTGCCAAAAAGGGTAGTCTCAATGACCACAGGTCATCCAGATCCCCATCAATGGCCGGTACCCAAAGTGGATGCCTACCAACATTCTATGGTACCATAGAAATTTTAGCCCATAGGCAAAAAGGATGGTTTGTTTAGTGGAAAATGTGGGATATTGATATTAATGGATATTACCCTTTGGTAATTTAACATAACTATGGATAAATCACCATGCTATAAATGGGTAAATCAACGAACTAAATGGCCATTTTCAATAGCTAAGTTTGTTTACCAGAGGGAACCATAGAAATGTTGGCTATATCCCCTGAAACATAGCCCCCGTAGTAAGACCTGGTGCCTCCAATAATGTGGATAAAACAATGTCATAAACCAACGAAATCATGGGAATTGTTAAGTTATGTTAAGTTTATACCATAAACATGTTTCAAATGGCACCATATCAAAAATAGGACTTTTTGTTGGATGCGTTATTGATATTTATGACATTAACAGTCATATTTTACCACATTACAGCCACAAAAAAAACCAAAAGGTTCCTGCCATGGCCATTGGTTCGACCCGGCCTCCATTGAGTTATCATAATATGATATATAAATGGTGTATATATATCTATATATAATGAGCTACAGAATGGGATTGATATAATGGTAAAATTTAAAAATAATGTGGTTAATCCCATTACATCAATGTCATATATACTATAAATGGTTATAAATGGTAAAATCCCATTATATTAAGCTAAATTCATAAACCTATATATATATATAAAGCCCACCCAAACAAATTAATGTGGGTCAAAATGGAAGACCTAGGGGACCACAGATGTTAGTCTAGTTTAGTATTAACCATCCAATTATTGGGGTACCTAATTTTGACCCATACCCAAATTAATGTGGTTAACCACCCATTTTTAATGAAAAAAACCCAGCCATGGCCCGTCTGGCCTGCAGGCGCATCAAGCTCTGGGATCTGCAGAGGTCACGTTCTTTCCTGGAGATCTCCAGCTGGAAGCGGATCCGTTCCATGAGTTCTTTCTTGCCGAAGGGCTTCCTGGTGGCCACTGGTGGCCATGGGCAGAAGCCGAAAAAGAAAACAAAAAAAGAAACCATGGTTGAATTTGCGGAAAGACAGCTGGAAGATATTTAACTTATAACTAATTTGCTTAACATTTTATAACTAGCTTATGACGTTATCATGATATATATATATATATATAAATACATCTGGGTAAACTATAATTTTTTACTACCCTGATTTACCCAAATACATATATTAGAGATATCATCGTCTTTTCATTTCAATGAGAACCTGTTGTTGTTTTTGTTTCAATGGAGATCTGGGTCTATCCCGATCGAAAATCGTGGCCTCCGTAACACCTGGGGAGCGGTAACCCACCCAACATGGGGGTAACTCAAATCATCATAATTTCCATAGTAAACCATGATTTTGCTCTCAAGATAAGCATCTTTTCCATTAAAAAATGTATAATTTCAAAAAAAAACATAATTAATTAAAATAATTTCCTTATATATATATAATATCACAAAAACCAATTATCCATATTTAATAAGATTTTTGCCCATAATAAACCATAATTTGTGGGGTGCCCCCACGTATTTTTGTCTCCAAATCCCGTACATTGCATGTTATTCTTGGATTTGCTTAGGGGGTCCCCCAAAAAATACCATATTCTCTATAGATTCCACATTTCTGGTGGATTTCCCATTGGGAAAATAGACCAAATCACCTTAAACAAACCCATGAATCATCACTAATCATCATTAACCCCTATAGAATCACCATAAAAATCCATAAAGCAATCATTACCCCTATCAAATCAAGGTCTTTATGGTGCAACTCTCTGATTCGAATCACATCTCTCTCAAAGTACCGAGGGTCTGGACGTAGTCGTTGGCACCAGTTTCCAAGCAGCCAGCAATGGTGTCCTCCAATTTTTCTGATGCTGCGTAGAAAAGAGCATATCCTCCGGTAAACAAACATAGCTATTGAACATTGCCATTTATTGCCATTTAATGCCATTCATCTTTACCCTCTGGTAAATTAACAGTTTGACCCTGAAATAACCAATTTTTCGTGGAAACTAAGCTTCCAACCCCCATGACCTGCCAGGGTCTATGTTATTTTTTACTTTTTGGGTAAATTATATACCTATTAAAAATGCATACGCGTATATAAAGACCTAATTTTTCATATCAACTCTCCACGATCCACTTTTATTTAGAAGAAATACCATCTGGTTATGACTAACATGGCCATGGAAAATTACATTTTTTAATAGCTAAATCATCAAAAACCATCTATAAATGGGCCATGGCTTCCATGGCTATGTTAGTCATAACCTGAGGGTAATTAGAAGAAATACTTCGAAGTACTGGGAGATGCCATGGGAAATGCCTCATGATCAACTCTCAAAGGGATGCCATGCAGTGCTGCAGTGCTGTACGGCTCGTGCTATTTCGCTATTTCCGCTGCGTTTAGAAGCGACCTTCCAGAGATTCTGAAGCACGCAGTGAAAAAAATGACCCTCTGGTTATTTAACATAGCCATGGTATAGATGGCCCATTTATAGATGGTTTACCTGGGTTTGCGTATTACAAATGGTGATTTTCCATGGCTATGTTAAATAACCAGAGGGTAAGATGTGAATGGGTCAAAATGTGTCAACATATGTCAAAATGATGAATCCGCACAATGGATTAACATTGTTTATAGCAAAATTGAAGAAACTCTAACATAATCGATTACCATGGTCATGTTGGAATTTGGATAAATTGCTCAAATTCAATCATCTTGTTTTGGGAATTTCCCAGCTTGCCTGCCAGCCATAGCCATCGATTTGAACTGGTTTAGATATCCCGATTCTACCCATATTCACTCATTGTATTCACTTGATATTCCTATTATATATCCTATGGTTAAGTCAGTTTAAGTCCCTGTCGAATCCCATGTGAGCCATGAAAAGACCCTCTCTCTCCATCACATTACAGTGGCTGTTGAACAGTCATCCCTGAATTATGGATAATAATCCCCAATAACCCAGGTAGTATAACATAGTATAACCTCCTACAGTATCAATCAAGAGGTGGTAAAATTTGGCTAGATGAAGTAAAATGATTTATTTACCCCTCGGGTGGGAACTATTGACCTATGCCTACAACATCCTACAACTGGCTGGAGCAACCCTGATAAAAAAAAATGGTGAAATCTCTGCCGAATCCCATAGTTATACGACTTGGGTTTTTCAGTTTTTTTTTTCGGGATTATTATAGCCCATAGTAGGGATACTGTTTTCCAACCAACTAGTATTCCATGGTATCAACCATCGATCTATGGGTGGCTTATGACATTGCTGTACAGATATGAACGTTTACCAATTTTAATTGGTTATAACTGATAGCTGGTAATAAATGGGATTCTACATTCCATATCATTCCATAACCTGGGGTTAGAAGTACTTATAACTGGTATAGTGCTAACCAATAATGTCCTTTTGGTAAAAATAGAGGGGCCGGGAGCTGGTATACCAGCTATCATCATTTACCTCTTGTTAAAGGGGTTTCTTCAAACCGCTCTATTTTCATCAACCAACCAGTGGGAAAAGGACATCTATGGTACTAACATAGCCCTTACATAGGCCTTATATATGGTAGGTGCCTCCAATCAATCGGTTCCTGGCATGGCCATTGATATATATAACTGGTAGAGTGCGACCACATGTTTTATTTTCCATTTCATATATGGGATGTCATCCTTCCCATTGACGAACTCATATGTTTCAAGATGGTTTTTTAACCACCAACCAGATAAGAGAATATTAGATTCATTATATACATATATAGTGGATTTACCCATTGAACATGGTGATTTTCCATAGTTATGTTAGTGTACCAGAGGAAATTATGAGGATTTGGGATACCCTGTTGGGTTACCGCTCCCCATCGATGGATCGATGCTATGATCCAGCTATTTTTTAGCCATATTTTATCAATGTGATTTTCGAAGGGGATTTTTCGATGAATAGACCCAGATCTCAAACAAAATGATCAAACGTTGGTTTAAATATCATTTATATGGATAGATATAGCTATTTGTAACCAATAATATATCAGTAATATATATATATATGGTCCCGTGTCCCGTGTTCCCACCCCCCCCCCATGGGATGGGGGGGGGTATGATGCCCCTCTGGTGGTGTATATACATACATACATACCTACATACCTACCTACCTACCTACCTACATACCTACGTACATACATACATACATACCATTACATTACCTTACCTTACATTACCTTACCTTACCTTACATTACCTTACCTTACCTTACATTACCTTACCTTACATTCCATACATACATACATACATACCTACCTACCTACATACCTACGTACATACATACATACATACCATTACATTACCTTACCTTACATTACCTTACCTTACCTTACATTACCTTACCTTACATTCCATACATACATACATACATACATACATACATACATACATACATACATACATACATACATACATACATACATACATACATACATACATACATACATACATACATACATACATACATACATACATACATACATACATACATACATACTACATGTATATATATATACATGACTATATTACATATATATATATATATATGTATTACATACATACATACATACATACATACATACATACATACATACATACATACATACATACATACATACATACATACATACATACATACATACATACCAACATACCAACATACCAACATACCCAACATACCACCACCACAGGCCACAGGGGGAGGGGGACCAGAAGAACCATACCACCACCACAGGCCACAGGGCGGGGGGGGGACCAGAAGAACCATACCACCACCACAGGCCACAGGGGGGGGCCAGAAGAACCAGACGATACTGTCCACCCATACCCATTGGTGGGGGGGGGGAGGGGGGGTGGCCAACGCTGCACCATATATAGCTATATGGATATATATATATATAGCTATATGTGATTAAATATCATTTATATATATATATGGATATAGCTATAATATATGTATATATATATATATACATACTGGTTGGTGGTTTGGAACATGAATTTTATTTTCCACAATATATGGGATAATCATGGATAATCCTTCCCGGAAGGACATCCATGGTACTAACATTCCATAACTGGCGATTTTTCATGGCCCGAATGAAGGGCTTCTCACGAAACTCTCCTTGGTGCCCTTGGCAGAAACCATCACAATGGGCAAAATCTGCGAAGGATAAGTCTGCCGGAGAACCTTCCTGAGAGATTTCATGCTGTGTTCTTCTCGGGCAATGTAAACTGGGGATCCAAAAAGTTCCGTGAATTTCATATGTACCCATTAATTCAACTGGTTGATGAATGGTGAAGCACGATTCCTGGTGATTAAGCCATCAACTAGAGGCTAAAACATGCTAAAACACCTTTCATCAGCTCCGAGGATTGGAAATCCGGAAAAAATGGAGGTTTTCTTCGAAGCCGTCAATCCAACCGTTGCGGTGCCCCCCCAGAATTGGCGAGATTTGGCAGTCTGGCAGAAAAACCAGTGAGCAATATTCAAAACCCACAACGGGTTTCCCAGCTCATGGACTGTGATAATCAATCTTCAATTGATATTGATACAGTAGTATGTCACCCAAGCCAATCATCAGTCATCATTTATCAAATTATATTTCCAAATTTTGGATGATAAAAATCAGAAAATGGACCATGATGGATCTGTAGGGGTTAGCAGCTGCTCAAGAACTTGGGTAGGACTCTAGGACCCCACAAAACCACACCTGGGATCCTGAAAAAGCTGCGGAGTCTTCAGCTCCATGGATGAAACAACCCACCATCTAATCTAATTTACCCTTTGGTAAATTAACAAAAAGCTGTTGAAAATCACCATCTTTTTTTTGTCCATCCACTATAATTAATTGGGCCATGGCTTCAATAGCAAACTGTAATCGTGATTTCGCAGCCATGTTTGACAAGGGATCGATGCATCCTCAACGCTTATGACGGTGGCAGTGATGCTTCCCATCATCATTTAGATGGAGATTTCCCAAATGACCGGTATATTCAGTTCAATATGATATTCAATGGGAAATCTTCAGGATCCTAAAATGGAGGTACGTAAACGTACCATATTTTGGACCATATTTTATGGAGATGTTCCCTGAAATTTAGGCCTTACATAGGCCTTAGATATGGTAGGTACCTCCAATCAATTGGTTCCTGTTGCATGGCCGTTGAAATATGGAGATTTCATAAAATGGGGGGGTCCCCATTTTACTCGCTGGATGGTAAAATCACATGGGCGAGAAATGGGGCTACCCTCTGGTAATGACTAACAGTTTGCTATTGAAAATGGCCATTGAAATAATGGATTGACCCATTGATAGCATGGTGATTTTCCATATCAATGGCCATTCCAGGATCCTAAATTGGAGGTACCTACCATATATAAGGCCTATATAAAGCCTAATTTTCAGGGAATATCCCCACAAAATATGGCCAAACATATGGTACTAACGTACCTCCAATTTAGGATCCTGGAGATCTCCCATTGACCATAGCTATGTTAAATCACCAGAGGGTATGTTTTTGACTTTCAAAAAGCGCTGGGATGTTGATCTGTCGTCTTGACTTGATTCCATGCGCAATGCCAATGTGACAGTTTTGGCCACTGGAAAATCACCATTTTTCATATACCATCTGGTTACTTAACATAGCCATGGAAAATCACCATTTTTAATAGGTAAACCATCTATAAATGGGCAATTTCCCATGGCTATGTTAAATAACCAGAGGGTAGCTCAATGAAGCAATCGTCGATTGCTAAATAGGGCAATTTGTTCGCCATCTTCGATGTTCACCGGAGGGTATCTTTGGGGAAAGTGTTGAGAAAAAACTTATCCTCTGGTAATTTAACATAGCTATGGAAAATCACCATTTTTAATGGGTAAATCCACTATAAATGGCCATTTTCAATAGCTATGTTAGTTTACCAGAGGGTACCTTTACAAGCTGATGGTTTTTTCCAACCTCAATGCAATCTTTTCAACATGGAACCTTTGAACGAAACATGATTTTCACATCCCGGGGCCAAACCCCAATCAAAGTGGCTGGTGTTTGGGCCAGGGGAAAGGGAAAATTGCGATAGGTCAAAATTGGATAGCCTAACAATTAAATGGTCAGTAGTTCCCCTAAGATTGAACACCCTGTAAACGGTAACGAAACACATATATGGGGGTCTTTACCCTCTGGTAAACGTTTACACAAGACTATGGAAAATCACCATGCTATTAATGGGACAATTCACTATAATGGTGATTTTCCATAGTTTTTTGTAGGTTTACCAGAGGGTAATCCCATTAATAGATCATTAAAAAAATCAATAAGTATCACGAATCAACCATTAACCGACTATTACCCTCCAGTAAATTAACATAGACCCTGGCAGTCATCGGGGTTGGAAGGCTAGTTTCCACTAAAACTAGGCTATGTTCAGGGTCAAACTGTTAATCTACCAGAGGGTAAATCCCATTGTTACCACTATTTCAATGGTGATTTTCCATCGTTTTTTGTGGGTTTACCAGGCCGGGTAATATGACCGAACAACCCATGGTCAGCCCATGGTCAGCCCTCGTCGTCACCATCGTCCCTCTCAGAGACGGGCGGCAGCAACTCCACTCCAGTGATGTCAGGCATCATGACCTAGGGAAACCCGAGATTTCCCCCCTGACAAAACTATGGAAAGATCCACCATGCTATCAATGGGTAAATCCACTATATATGTATATAATGAATCTGGATAAATTGCTCAAATTCAATCATCTTGTTTTGGGAGTTTCCCAGCTTGCCAGCCACAGCCATCGATTTGAACTGGTTTAGATATCCCGATTCTACCCATATTCACTCATTGTATTCACTTGATATTCCTATTATGTGTCCTATGGTTAAGTCAGTTCAAGTCCCTGTCGAATCCCATGTGAGCCATGAAAAGACCCTCTCTCTCCATCACATTACACTGGCTGTTGAACAGTCATCCCTGAATTATGGGTAATAATCCTCAATAACCCAGGTAGTACAACCATAGTATCCTATAGTATAACCTCCTACAGTATGTCCTTTTGGGTATCACATATTTATACGACTTGGGTTCATAACCAGATGGTAGATGAAGTAAAATGACGGAAATAAACCCCTAAAAAGTTGGACTTATTGACCTATGCCTACAACTGGCTGGAGCAACCCTGATTTAAAAAAAATGTGAAATCTCTATCGAATCCCATAGTTGTACGACTTGGGTTTTTCAGTTTTTTTTTGGGATTATTATAGCCCATAGTAGGGATACTGTTTTCCAACCAAATAGTACTCCATGGTATCAACCATCGATCTATGGGTGGCTTATGACATTGCTGTACAGGTATGACCGTTTACCAATTATAATTGGTTACTGATAGCTGGTAATAAATGGGATTCTACATTCCATATCATTCCATAACCTGGGGTTATAAGTACTTAGAACTGGTAGAGTGCTAACCAATCATGTCCTTTGGGTAAAAATAGGTTTGGGCCGGGAGCTGGTATAGCTATCATTTACCTGCTGTTAAAGGAGTAAACCTTCAAACCCTGATTACCGAAGGGTACTGGTAAACTCACATGATGTGAAATCACCACTGTCAATAGGAAACTTAACTACAAATGGGCCATTTTCGATAGCTACGTTGAAATACCGGAGGGTATTAGGCGAATCTTGAGCTGCTGTTTTTGCAAGGTCACCTGATGACAATGTGTGTTTTTTTTTTGTGAAATTCCATGATGGGCTTCCTAGCTTCTTGAATAATGACAGCAAAAACAACTCAAAATTACTTTACTTCGTGTGATCCTCACCATGACATTTATACATTTTGTTACTGGCAAATCTTCCGGCATTCTATCTGACATATCTTCTGGCATTCTATCTGGCAAACATTCTGGCACTTTATCTGGCATATCTTCTGGCATTCTATCTGGCATTTTATCTGGCATTCTATCTGGCATACCTTCTGGCATTCTATCTGGCATATCTTCTAACATTCTATCTGGCATATCTTCTGGCACTCTATCTGGCATATCTTCTAACATTCTATCTGGCATATCTTCTGGCACTCTATCTGGCATATCTTCTGGCACTCTATCTGTCATATCTTCTGGCATCTCTATCTGGCCGTTGAGGTACAGCGGTGCACACTGAGCTGGGAAGGTCCCAGGTTGAGGTCCAGCGGTGCACTCTGAGCTGGGAAGGTCCCAGGTTGAGGTCCAGCGGTGCACACTGAGCTGGGAAGGTCCCAGGTTGAGGTCCAGCGGTGCACACTGAGCTGGGAAGGTCCCAGGTTGAGGTCCAGCAGTGCGCACTGAGCTCGGAAGTTGGCAAAGAGCTTGGCGAAGAGTTGGCAAGGCGGAAGTCGAGGTGGAAGTTGATGCAGACATGGTCGAGGAGAAACTGGAGGAGGAGGCGGAGGAGGAGGAGGACGAAGCGGAGGAGGAGGCGGAGGAGGAGGAGGAGGGCAACAGCTCTGATAAAATCTAACAACCCTCACCTGGCAGGTGGGGAAAAAGGAGAAAACTGCATATCAACGATGGGACATAAGTAAGTAATGAAAACAAAGGCTATGTTCAGAGTGTCTCAGGGCCAATCTTGTTCTATGTTCTTCCTCTTAGTGCTTGGTATTTATGTTCTTCGCTCATGGCTGTTAGACACTATCCCCATGTAAGCTCTTGCTCATATCATCATTTCTACAATATCCCTATTTGTTGCTGATAGATCGCCGCAAAACATCATTTACCCTCTGGTAAACACACAAAAAACGATGGAACATCACTATTTTAAATGGGTAAATCCACGAACTAAATGTGCCATTTTCAATAGCTACCATCTGGTTATGACTAACATAGCCATGGAAAATCACCATTTTTAATAGGTAAAAACCATCTATTTAGATGGGCCATCTATACCATGGCTATGTTAAATAACCAGAGGGTAGTTGATTTACCATGTGGAATATTTACCTACACTTGGTTGATTTTTGGGGTAAATGTAGGTAATTTTTTAAATATTCCATACATGGAGCATATGGGCCACTATAAATGTGCCATTGTCAATAGCTACGTTAAATTACCAAAGGATACTCACCTGAAAAGTTCGGCTATTTTGGGATGATTCCCCGACTTCGAAGCATCATTCCAGGCTTCGGGAGAACGACGTGAGGTCGTATTTTTTCTGCCCAGAAAAGACGGCTTTGAACACCCCATGAAAAACTTGGATGTGCTTAAGGGGACACCAAAAAAAACACATATTCCCTATAGATTCCCTTCAGCGGTTGATTTCCCATCGGAACATTAAGCCCAATCATCTTCAGCGACTCCCAGTAACATCATTAATCATCATTAATCATAGTAAATAGTCCCATTAATCATCATTAATAAACATAAATAGTAGTCCCATTAATCAACAATCAATCATCCTTAATCCATCATTAACTCAATGGAAATTCCAGGATCCTAAAATGGAGGTACGTAAACGTACCATTTTTGTTGGCGATATTTTGGGTGTATATCCCCTTACATAGCCCTTACATAGGCCTTATATATATATATATATCTATATATATATATATAAATTAGGTACCTCCAATAAATCGGTTCCTGAAATGGCCATTGATTAACCCATATCAAATCCCTAGTCCCCCTCCAGCCCCCCCTGATTTTTGTCGGGGCCCAGTAGCATCCAACAGGATCAGTGAGGGCAAGCGATGCTTCTGCAAATAATCCACTGCTTCCGGCACGTCCAAGGCCTGAACCACCTGGAAAAACATGGTGAATCTGGGATTAAATGTCATTAATTGTGTCCAATAAATATGATATAGTATGATATAGTATATTAAAATGCCTGGAATGTTAAAACATCTGGGATTATTGTCCATTATATATATAAATGTATCAGATAAATATCTATTTAATAGTAAATATCTATATCAAACAAACTAGTATATATAGTATACAGTAGATATGTGGTGAAACAATATCCAAAAAATATATGTCCATTAATATGTGATTAAAACAATAATAAATCATCCCTCAAATCACCATTTTTTAAAAGGTGGTTTTTGATCCATTCCCAAATGGGTGGTTTATGACATTGTTTTAACCACATTATACATATATATATAAGTTCTATATATATATATATATCAAATAAACTAATATCTATTCAGTAGTATATATGATATAAGTTAATGTATATATATATATATATAGGATACCTGGCAAAAAAGAGAGTTTTTGTTTACCCAATTTACCACAAAAGATTGAAGTCTTTAGCAGTATCCAAGGTTGATCTAACGTTGACCCAATTGCTGAGTTCATTTTATCAATGGGAATTTCAGAATCCTGAAGATCTCCCATTGATCATCCGCTGGAAAATCATTTCTGAAGCATGGCTGATTCTTGGGGATGATGGCTGGTTGGTGGTGCTGGCTGTGCCCATCTTGAAAAATGATGGAGTTCGTCAATGGGTTTGGGATGACATCCCTTTTTTATGAAATGGAAAATAAAAAATGTTCCAAACCACCAAACAGATGGGATTTTGTTTGGCATTTTTCCATCTTTTTCACCAGGCAATGATGTGTGGCTGGTGGTTTCAACCCCTCTGAAAATTTCTTCAGCTGGGATAATTATTCCCAATATATGGAAAAATAAATATCTGTTCCAAACCACCAACCAGATATCAACCAGATATTATATAGTCTTATTGATATAATAGTACCATCTGGTTATGACTAGCATAGCCATGGAAAATCCCCATTTGTAATAGGTAAACCATCTATTTCTATGGGTCATTTCCCATGATGCCATGGCTATATAACAAATTACTAGAGGGTATGGCCAGTTTTCCAAGTCCCAAGTCTGGTTGTTAACATTTTTAATAGGTAAACTATCTATTTTCATGGGCCATTTTCTCCAGCATTTTTCGGTTTTGAAGAGGATCGCCTGGTAGCTGCCATTGCGAAACATCGAGGAAACCAGCTGCTGATGGATGCTGTCATCATCCACCGATAAAATCACTGGATCTGCGTCTCGCGGTGGCAAGCGATCCTGGCTTTGGAATGCGCGAGCTTCAACACGGAAAATCTATGTACTATATAATATGTTCACATTTATATATATATGTATATATAAACACACACACACATATATATATATATATACATAAATATACATATATATATATATGCGTACATATATATATATATACATATATATATATACATATATGTCTACTGATTGCTGGGTAAATATTAAAAAAAAAACAAGAGTTGGTAAGATTGGCAAATTGGATCTGGGAGAGGAAGTCGTAAAAGTGTGTGAAATTTCAGGCAGACGTTCCAAGCTCAAGTCGAGGAACAATGTAGGACCCCTGAAACTGCAGCTTTGCCAAAACCTGCTCCGCGGACATCGCCGATCCTCAAATGCCCCCAAGAGCGTCTCCAAGAGTCAGGCTCTGTTGGATTTACCCTCTGGTAATTTTCCCATGGCTATTAAAAATGGTGATTTTCCATGGCTATATTAGTCATAACCAGATGGTAGCTATTGAAAATGATCATTTATAGTGGATTTACCCATTAGAAATGGTGATTTTCCATAGCTATGTAAACGTTTACCAGAGGGTAAAACGTCTTCCATCTTAATCCACATCCCCATATGATATCCAACGTTCGACAAATTTCTTTAGAATGACTTTGAACGCCAAGACAAATCCTGAAAAAAAACAACTGTTGGGCAATGACTTTAGATAAGAAAAATACTTTACTTCGTGTGATCCCCACCATGACATTTATACATGTTCTTACTGGCACATCTTCTGGCATTCTATCTGACATATCTTCTGACATTCTATTTGGCATTCTATCTGGCATATCTTCTGGCATATCTTCTGGCATTTTCTCTGGCATATCTTCTGGCATTCTATCTGGCAAATCTTCTGGCATTCTATCTGACATATCTTCTGGCATCTCTATCTGGCATTCTATTTGGCATTCTATCTGGCATATCTTCTGGCATATCTTCTGGCACCTGGCATATCTTCTGGCATTCTATCTGGCAAATCTTCTGGCATTCTATCTGACATATCTTCTGGCATTCTATCTGGCATATCTTCTGGCATATCTATTCCTGGCATATCTTCTGGCATATCTTCTGGCATATCTTCTGGCATCTGGCATATCTTCTGGCATATCTTCTGGCATATCTGGCATCTGGCATATCTTCTGACATCCTATCTGGCATTCTATCTGGCAAATCTTCTGGCATTCTATCTGACATTTTATCTTCCTACATGAGGTCCGGCAGGGAACACTTGGCGTGGATACTCGCGGTTTGGGCGTGGCTGGTCGTGGTTGAGGTCCGGCAGGGAACACTGGGCGTGGCTGGTCGTGGTTGAGGTCCGGCAGGGAACACTGGGCGTGGCTGGTCGTGGTTGAGGTCCGGCAGGGAACACTGGTCGTGGATGGTCGTGGTTGAGGTCCGGCAGCGAACACTGTGGCTCGCGGGTCGCAGTTGGACGAGGACGACGAGGACGACGAGGACGACGAGGACGACAAGGACGACAAGGAGGACGAGGAGGAGGCAGGCGGCAGACGAGGCAGGAGGCGGCAGGAGGCGGCAGGAGGAGGAGGCAACTGACATAAAATCTAACAACCCTCACCTGGCAGGTGGGAAAAAATATATATATATATAGAGATGTTCCAAACATGGAAAGAACAAGCGGATATATACCATATGGCTGGGACACTCTAGTAGTTCCAAGCGGCCAAACGAAAAGATGCAACCAGCTCAAAAAAAACAGCTTGTCCATAGCTATGTCACCATTCGAGTGATCCCCCGGACAAATGATTCTGATGTAGTTTCTGACATATCATCTGGAAGTATAGTTATGGCATATATATATATATATGTATACAAATTATTATATATCTGGTTGGTGGTTTCAACCCATCTGAAAAAATATATTAGCCAGTTGGGATGATGACATTCCCAATATATGGAAAAAATCTTCCAAACCACCAACCAGATATCAACCAGATATTATATATATAGTCTTGTTTATGTAATAGTACCACCTGATTATTTAACATAGCCATCTGAATATTTAACATAGCCATTCTTCTTTTGGCATGTCTTCAGGCCCATGCGCCGGATCGCCCAAAGGCATCCAAAGGTATCCGGCAGGGCGACCTAAAGGTAAGACCCCATCAATGGCCATTGCTTACCACCAGCATTTGTTATGGGTTGCATGTGCCATGATCAAAACATAGTACACGGACTATGGTGGACTATGGTCTATTTCGGAATCCAAACATTCTTTTCTGATATTTTAGTCATATATGATTATGATTTTATGGTCATACCATATTTTAGTCATATATTATTCTAATATTCGTATGATTGATCAAACTAGGTATTATATGTGATTATGATCTTTTTTGTGTATAATACCTTCTTATGAATGGATTGATGACCAATCCAAAAGTATTGGGAAACAAGCAGAATGTGGAATGACCGTTTAGCCCATGTTACTCTAAGCTAACAGTTCGATGTGAAAAACCTACCATTTCTATGATCATTCTTCAAAGGGAATCTCTGGCTGCTGGCTTTTCCACATCTAAGAAATCTAAGGTATCAGGGAGGATCATCCCACGAATCGTGCTTCATAATGCTCATAACATTCAGGTCACGCCGTGGCCAGCGGCCTGTGGGCCGCAGGCATGATCAGCATTATCTTATCTTATCTTACCTTATCTTATCTTATCATATCATCATCATCATCAACATCATCATCATCATCATCATCGTCGTCATCGTCATCATCTTCGTCCGGGTCCTTTGTGCGTTACATCAACGTAGCACAGCTTGGATGTGCAAGCGTGCAAGAACGCTACCTCAACGTAGCATGACGTCGCTCAGCAAGCGTACATGAACGTCATTACTCCACCCACCCCACCCCACCCCAACAAGGACAAAAAAAGACAAAAAAAACAAACAAATAGCTTTCACACACAGGCCGCGCGCCACGGCGCCAGCAACATTCATAACGTCCAATTATCCCATTCATATATATATATATATATACTGGTTGGTGGTTTCAACCCCTCTGAAAAATATACTAGCCAGTTGGGATTATGAAATTCCAAATATATGGGAAAATAGAGGATTTTCCAACCACCAACCAAATATTTTACCCTCTGGTAATTTAACATAGCTATTGAAAATGATCATTTATAGTGGATTTACCCATTGAAAATTGTGATTTTTTATAGTTATGTAAATGTTTACCAGAGGGTAATATTCCATTTTAAAAGATTTTATAAGTGGCAAAATGCATAAAAATACCCCACAAAGTTTTTACTAGTCTCCGGGATGATCCTGGGCACTTTGGATCCAAGGGGCTTGAGACATGCCGCCTTATTGGCTCGAATCTCGTGCTGAACGGCTTCCTGTTTTTTTTGGTCAAACTTTTGGGGCCTGGGTCTTTACCTGGTATATTCTGTGTCATTTTCGGGCTCCAAGTTTTAAACCGTTGCTCCATCAAAATCCACTGCGATGGTGTTTGGTCTGCTCTAGATTTTTCAGTAGCTAGGCACGGCCTAAAAAAGAACATTCACAAACGTGAGGCAAGCATTTTCTTGAGACGTTTCCAGCGACTTTGGCTCGATCATGGTGGGGAAAGTCACCTTGCCGCTTCATATCGTCCCCATTCCATTCCATTCTGCACTTGGAAGATCAACATTGGTCGGGGTGAACCCTTCATATCGTCAATGGGAATTTCAGGATCCTAAAATGGAGGTACCTACCATATATAAGGCCTATATAAGGCCTATGTAAGTGAATATCACCACAAAATACAGTATGGCCTTATATGGTACAGTACCTCCGTTTTAGGATCCTGAAATTCCCATTGATATCGTCACAAACAAACTAGTTGCTTTCTTCGATCCAAGTCACCTGCTAATCAAAGTGGCTTATCCCTTTTTTTTCCCTTTTCTTTTGTGGGTAAGCTCACCATGGTGATCCGTGGCCCCCAGGTACGTACTGTGTCCTTGAGGAGTCTTCAGTATCAGCCTGCCAGAAATTCATCGCAGCAAGGCTATCAGTGGGTGAAACACCTGATGAAATTCTCCTTATCTTGTTTTTTTTGTATCTTCATGTCAAGATTTGTGCGAACATATCTAAGGTCAGAAGCCTTAAAATTCTGGATTGCCTTTATTGTTATTTCTTACAGTTTTAGAATGTGCTTACTAACCAAAGAGGGAAATTTATTCGTTCATATAAAGTGGATTTAACATATTTACCCTCTGGTTATTTAACATAGCCATGGAAAATGGCCCATTTATAGATGGTTTACCTATTAAAAATTGTGATTTTTCATGGCTATGTTAAATAACCAGAGGGTAACTGGATATACCCTTTGGTCATTTCTTTGCCGGAATGCCACTATCGGACATCATAGGTCAATCATCCACAAGCGGACCAAAAATCCACAGAAACTGTGAGATCACCCAAGGCTACTCCAAACTTTCCCTCATGAGGCTGATTGAGTATCACCATGTATCACCAATAAAGAGCAAACCAGACCGATGTTTTCTTGGCGCCTTAGATCCATCATGATCTATCACTCTCACGCCCCCGGGGTTTTTAAAGTTATTAAAGTTATCACTCTCCTTGATGGATATTGATGAATATTTTATGTGAAATACTCTGCTGCCAGCCCTGGATCCTGCTTAAAGCTCTGCGCTGTTGCTTATTGCCTTTGAGTAGCAAATGACATTACTATTTGGTGGTAAGCCGCTAATTAATCAACCAGGCTTTGTTAGTCCAGGCTTGACATTACTGGTTGCGAAAAATCGGTATCCATGTGGGTTAGATTTATCCCCTATTCACCGCGCAGCATTATTTACTATGATAACCAATCAACTGTTGGTTTTAAGTGGCTCACTTAGGGAAGGATCAGAGTCATAGGATGCAACTTGTGATTTTGAGACACAGATCAGTTAAAAAGCATCAGAAAACAGAGCTGCATCACAAAGAGAAGTGTTCTGATAAACTAGCGTAGCTAAGAAATCTACAGTATGGAAAGTAGACATTAAAAAAACAACATCAACTATGGAAAAAAAACATCATTGATGGGTAAATCAACGAACTTTCTATGGCCGTTTTTTTCCATAGCTCTCTTAGTAAAAACCAGAGGTACAGTACCACCTTTCCCCAAAGAGGTGGTTTTGGGGGCTCCCCAGTCCCAGCCACCATGATGGGAACCACGGAAACCATGGATTCAGCGAAGCAGTTTTGCAGAATTCTGCCAGCGATGGTCCATACAGTAAATATTAAAACAACAAAACATGACAACATGTTTCAATGCTGGCAGAATGATGAATATTTGCTTTGGACAAATCGCTGGCAGAATTCTGCAAAACTGGCAAAACATGTCATGTTTAAGGTGATTATTCAACATAACATACCACGACAGGACATTCACATTACAAAACATGACATGACATGATATATACTGGTTGGTGGTTGAGCCACCCCTCTGAAAAATATGAGTCAGTTGGGATGATGATTATTCCCACTATATGGAAAGTCATAAGAATCATGTTCCAAACCACCAACCGGTATAGTTATAATGTGCCCCCCCAAGTGATGTTTGTTGGTTTATAAGCCCCAGTAACTATAGTTATTTGCGTACCATAAACCATAGTTATTGGAGTTATGTTCACCAACTGAACGCTATCTTGGGGGCCTCACATTGTATAATTATATTATATATATATAATGTGAACCCTGGATTAATAAACCCCAAGGCTGTTTACTTGGGAGGGTACCATTTAAGTATTAGATTATGACTATTGGAGGAGTACCCCCCTAATTAATAAACCATGGTTTATTAATCCGGGGTTGACATATTATATAATTATATATATATATATATATGTAGGGATTCACCGTTTTTGGTGGATTTATCAACAGGTAAACCACCAGAAATCACCGACGAAAATCTAAGTGGTGGGTGCATCCCACCCATTTAGCAGGCAGTGAAACAAACAATCGAATTTTCCATGTATAGATCATATAGATCATATAGATCATATATGAAGTGAAACTTGTCATCTATAAATCAACGTGTCTCAAAATGGGGTGCAAAAAAGGCCGCACTTGATTCCTGGATATATATTATGACCAACGTTTCGCAAGAATAGTTCAATGATGACTTGGGGGTCGCCGATCTTTTATCTTATATAACTTTGAGAAACACCACATCTCTGAATGAACTATATATATATATATATTTATTTAACTATCTATGTCAAAAATGGGAATATATGGGAACTATGGGAATATCTCGGCTTATATCTAAATTCTAGAGTGTTGTCTTACATTACCAATAGCCTAAAAGCACACCCTGAAAAATAATTTTATGCCCCTGGCAGCCTTGTCTGCCACCAGCTCCTCTCCCTTAGGTCGATGAAAAGTCCATCTATCCCTCACAAAATGGATGGATCCAAAAGATTCCAAAAGTACAATGGGTTGATTTGGGTTTGGTGAAAAAGGATGACGCTGAGGGGATCCCCCCGTGAATTCTAGCAATTTCAACGCTGACAGATGATCAATTTGAGAAAAACTATACCATGTTTTTTTGGGGCATCCTAGTTTCAAACAAGCCCATGTAAGGGAAGTAAAGGAAGATCGGAACTGGAAATCGTTTTATTTTACCAAAAATGGTTGGCGGTATACCTACCCCTCTGAAAAATGATGGAGTTCGTCAGTTGGGATGATGGCATTTCCAATATGATAATATGATGGGAAAGTCATTCAAAATTCCATGGTTCCAGCCACCACCAACCAAGAAAGAAATCTCAGGGGGAACCCCATGGGCTTACCGGGCCTACCGTCCTCCTGGGAATGGGAGATGCGCCAAAATTATGATGCTCGAATGGTCAAGATTTTAAGAAGTGTATCAGAAGCATATTCTGATGCTGGTTGGTGCTTTTAACCATCTTGAAACACATGAGTTCGTCAATGGGAAGGATGACATCCCAAATATAAAAAGGAAAATAAAATTCATGTTTGAAACCACCAACCAGATTGTCACTTTCGAATTAACAATCGTGAGAAAAACAAACATATATTTCACTTAGATATGACTTGTCGTTTCAATAAACAGTATCACTGAAGAGTGTTTTATCACTGATTTATAGTGAAACTTCAAGTGGAACATTCAGTGTCATTCTAGCAGTGATAATTTCCATTCACTTATTTTAGTGTTTTTCTATGTTTTGCCCTCTGGTAAACTAACATAGCTATGGAAAATATAGGAAAATCACCATTTTAATGGGAAAACTCACTATAAATGGCCATTTTCAATAGCTATGTTAAATTACCAGAGGGTATCACTTATTTATCACTTTTCTTGGGGAAGAAACATCCAGACCTTTGGAACCACCCAAAGTGACCTGGGTAGATTTTTTGTGAATGCTGCAGATCAAGCCACAAAAATTCTGCAAATTGGCATCGTTGATTCACAATCTCAATGTCTTTTTCTTTTTAGAAAACTATCAAATTGAATTTCAAATTCAAGTAGATAGACCATTAATTGGCATCTCAATTACAATTTCACAATCAATTAATCATTAAGTAAAATGCAATGCCATCAAATTTAGAGGGAATACATGGGAATACACCTGTTAAATATCTCACTATTTGGAATTGGATTCTAGTAAAGTCTATCCTAACACTGACCAAAAAATACAAAAAAACTAAGGATGAATACTGAAGCAACATGCACATCACCCTGCATCATCACTCAAAGAGGTGCTGTTGTATGGAAAACAGAAAACAGGCATCTGCAATTTCGGTAGTCGCAAAGGTTAGATTGCCAAAAACTCATAAATGAAGTGATTTAAAATCAACGTAAGAAAAGCACCACTACTTGCATTTTTGCATTAAAACCAACCCAGGTAAACCATGGCCGCTACTTGCACCAATGGCCGAGCTGCAGAAGTGCCTGTGAAGGCTCGATCTGCCAGCGTGGTGGAAGGAGCCTCCCAATCCTTGAGGAACAAGTGCTATGCTTGGTGGTTTGGTTGCTGTTTTCATGCCATGGATCATGGTCTATTAATGGGATTTAATAGTCGATGAATGGTTGATTCATGATACTTATTGATTTATTCATGGTATAGTAATGGTCTATTAATTAATGGGATTACCCTCTGGTCAACATACAAACAACTATTGAAAATGGCAATTTAGTTCGTGGATTTACCCATTAATAGCATGGTGATTTTCCAGAGGGTAATAGCCGGTTAAGGGTTGATTCATGATATTTATTGATTTATTAATGGTCTACTGCTGGGCTCTAATTGTCTATGAATGGTTTATTAATGGGATCCAAATTGTCTATGAATGGTCTATGAACGGCATTTACCGTTCTATTGTCATGGGTTAATGGCATCTTGGGGTTTATTCATGGGATAAAGGTGGCGAGATTGAGTGGAACATATAACCAACAAAAGGTTTCTAGGTTTGTCTAAAATTTGGCACCCCCAAACCCAATTGTTTATCATCATGCTGTACACGTAAATCACGTTTTGGGACTGCTTACCACATTTTCAGACACACCCTTCCTGGAAAAGAAAAATGTTTCATCATCTGAAAACAAATCGGAGAACTTTTGGTTCACCATTGGGTTTACCCTCTGGTAAACTAACACAACTGTAGAAAATCACCCTTTTTCATGGGTAAATCAACTATAAATGACCATGTTCAATAGCCGACGGTTAGTTTACTAGAGGGTAAATGGTTGACCATTGGATTTAACCAATGAAAATGAGGACTTGATCAACAAACGTTACACCAACGACCCCAGAACTTTAGCATGACGATATAAACAGCGGGGGGGGTCAACAAACAGGTCAAACAAGTAGTTCAACTGGGTCGATGAAAGGGGCATGTTGATTTGTTCCACCCTTATCCCCATCAAAGATGAATTGTCCCTTGAACCAAAGTTCGGAAGTCTGGGAAGTAGGCAAACATACGAATAAACAACATCAACAACCCATGTAATAATAGCAACCCATCTGCCAACCACATATGTACTTCCAGTCAAACCATAAAACATCTCACAGAGACAGACACAGAGAGAGAGAGAGAGAGCGAGAGAGAGAGCGAGAGAGCGAGAGAGAGAGAGAGACCCATGGCATAACTTACCAACTGCCCATTTGTGGGGCAAGGTACAAAGCCAGTGTCGGACGGATCGCCAGGTTCCACCATTTGGTAGGGAAGCGTGATTCCTCGGCTTTTGGCAACAAAAATGAAACATACCCACACCGAAGGGTGTTCATGGCGGCAACTAATTAATGTGTACTCTCTCTCTCTCTCTCTCCCTCCATTATTTGGAGTACTGATATTCACCTACTAGCATTAGCTTGTCTGGTGGTTTCAAACACCAATTCTACTAGTTATCGTGTATTTGGGTAAACCACCAGATATATTACAACCAGTATTTCAAACCCCAAGTACCGAAACACCAGTATCTGAGCTAGAAATTACCAGTTCGGCTAGTTCTCGCTAAGTATTGTAATTGAAAACTAGATCTTGGGCAACTATTATCTACTGGTTATAGATGTATATCCTTGAAAACTAGTTATAGGTCTTAGTTATCAGACCTTTGTGCTTATTATCAATGATTATAACTAAGATCTAGTTATCAATTACCATACTAAGACCTATCTATCAGATATAGGTTACTAGTTATCAGTTTCTTAGTTACTATGCCAGTTATCTAAAACACCAGTATTGGAAACCACCAAACACTACACCACTGCCTGGCAAAATGGCTTACTTCGCCAATAACTTTGGGGATTTCATGGTTCTTTTAACGGGGTATAGATAGATAGATAGATAGATAGATAGATAGATAGATAGATAGATAGATAGATAGATAGATAGATAGATAGATAGATAGATAGATAGATAGATAGAGAGATAGATAGATAGATAGATAGATAGATAGATAGATAGATAGATAGATAGATAGATAGATAGATAGATAGATAGAGAGATAGATAGATAGATGGATAGACAGATAGACAAATAGATAAATAGATGGGTAGATAGATGAGATAGATAGATAGATAGATAGATAGATAGATAGATAGATAGATAGATAGATAGATAGATAGATAGATAGATAGATAGATAGATAGATAGATAGATACGGGATATATATATATATAAATATAATTTACAGGTACCATCAGATATCACAAGTCTAGTTATAAAGTTTATAGTGGTATGTTTAATTGTTATTTTTAGTGTATCTTGCAGCAGTTCAACATACCACCCACCTACCTTCACCCCAGTGGTCCTATTGGATTTTTTCATTGTTTTCTGGTGTTATGGCCATTTCAGGAACCTAAATTTGGAGGTACCAACCATATATAACGCCTATATAAGGCCTATGTAAGGTAATATCCCAGCAAAATATGGCCTTATACGGTACAGTACCTCCATTTTAGGATCTTGAAATTCCCATTGAAACAAACCGGTTTCGATGTCTTTCAATGGTATAAATTATTGATTCGTGGGTCGTGGATAATAAATCAACATGGCCAATTGTCAATGGTCAATGGTCACTGCTTGGTTCACTCTGATACAGGATGGGGCCCCCAAGATAGCTAAGTTGGTTTATAAGTGGCTTAACAATGGTTTATGGTAGATATAACTAAAGTTAATGGTGATTATAATGGTTTGTAAACCAACTTATAACTGGGGGGCCCCATCCTGTAATAATTACCCACATATTATTCCCATTCAACATTTCCCATGGCTCTCTTCGCGGAAATCCAGGCTGCTGAAAGTGGAACCCTTCCCTTGTTGCGACTTCACCGTAAGTTCTCCACCGTGCTTGGCCGCGATCTGAGCGGAGCAGCACGGAAAAACACGGCTGTATAACATCAAGCTTTTCAAAGGTGAATTTTGAAGATGGTGATGATGATCATGATAATGAAACAGCACTAATGGTTACTATGAAGAAAGGTAATCATATCATATTGCTATTGTTATATATTGCCACCCAATCATCTCTAAAGACTACTAGTATCCCAATGGCCTTTTCAGGGACCCATTTATTGGAGGTACCTACCATATATCCAAAAAGTAGGCCTATCTAAGGAAATATCCACACAAAATCTTGCCCCATGTGGTACAGTACCTCCATTTTGGGGGTCCTGAATTTCCCTTTTTTTGAAGTAAGACACGAAAAGATCAGAACAGTACAATCCCCGAAATCACCAAAAATAAGTTGCGTGGACTTGAAACAACCCCCAAATGCTGGTTTATGGCATTGGGTTACCCACCTTACTATTTTTATAATGTTCATATGGATTAGACATATATAATCATATTAGGTACTGACAATTATCATACCATTGGCGTTATTTGCTCACATAACTATATGTGGGTTTCGTAAAATAGTGGTACCCTCATCAACTTTTCCATAGGATTGTCCAATATGAACCGTCCATGTTTGGGTACTCCCATTTTAGGACACCGCCATAATATCAATGGCCATTTCAGGAACTGATTTATTCGAGAAACCAACCATATGTAAGGCACTGAAAAAAGACTTAAATTTCAGGGAATGTACCCACGTATCCCGACAAAATATGGCCTTACATGGTACAGTACCTCCCTATTGACCATATAGGGTTTCCACAAATGGGTACACCCCAATAGCTGGATGGTTTCTAGTGGAAAACCCGTCTATATATGGATGATATAAGGGTACCCCCATGTCAGGAAACCTCCATAAATATAAATAAATAAATATATATATATATAGCATATACATTTGGATATTTTAAAAAACACATCATCTTAGCAAACCTGTATCTAGTATCTATGGATAGATATATGTTATGTCATGTGTAAAAAAAACAGATAGATTTTTGTCATAGTTATATGTTATGTCATTTATGTCATATATAAATATATATCTATTGAATCTATTATCATCTTATATGTATATACATATATGTAAAAAATATAAGCCCATGGCCGCCACAACCTTATGAGGATGATCGACCTCCCGGCTGATCGCCAAACCCAAGCCCAGACCGCCATAGCGACGGCTTTCCGAGCTGTCCTGCCGCGGAGGCGTTTCAGGACAAGTTGGAGGTGTCTGATATTGGAATAGATCATACAGGATGGTGCCCCCCAGTTATAAGTTGGTTTATAAACCCCATTAACTATAGTTATATCTACCATAAACCATAGTTATGGGAGTTATGAACCAACTTAGCTAACTATGGGGCACCACCTTGTATCTATTATTAGCGTTTAATATATCAAAATATTTTAGTGATTTTTTTTTTTGACCGCGCCCTCCACACGGACCTTCTATTGTACTCTGCCTATACCTATCAATAATCATTGTTATCAAGCTTGTAGCTGAAAACGGCCATCATAAGAAGCATTGAGTCTTTTTTGTCCACCGAATAAATACTACTGGGTAGTGCGCACAACATGTTGTCAATCTCGGTCAACTTCAATCCGGGGAACAGACATGAGATTCGCTCATAATTACTCCCTCAAAAGTGAATGATGGGGATTCTCAAGAATGAGTCTTTTGATGTCATCCGAGACAAGAAGTCCAGCTCCACGAACTCGCTCACTAAATGTGAAGAGACTGGTGTGTTCATCTTTCTGTCTCCATGCGTGCCCAACTTGCCACATTTGGCGAAGTTTTGTTTTTTTCTTGTGGCCCTCTTGGGAAAGATAAAGCAAAATGACATGAGCAAGTCGAATATCATGCTCTGTTTCCGAGAGCCCCAGGCACTGCAATTTCCAAATCAGATTGCTCACACATGCAAAAGAACCCTCCTTACAGAACCCCTGAATTAGGAACTCCGCGGTGCATAGGTTTCCACCATCAAGATCGATGGGCATTCTCACAGCTGCATACAGTAGATCCAATCTTGATCGCTACCTGGTACCTGGCCACTGCACAGTGTTCCTCTTGGTCGAAGGGTTGAAAGACCCTCTCAATGTTCTGCGGAGAGATGCCGATGCCTGGACTGTGGGCCGTGGATATCTCTGGGTTTCTGGAAAACGAGGCATCAATGGGAATTTCAGGATCCTAAAATGGAGGTACGTTAGCACCATATGTTTGGCCATATTTTGTTGGGATATTCCCTGAAATTTAGGCCTGAAAAATAGGCCTTATATATGGTAGGATATGGTAGGTATCTCCAATTCAGGTTCCTGAAATGATCATTGATTTGTTTAAATCACTTTGGTGTGTCTTATTGTTTTCGGTTTCCCATCCCTCATCATCCTTTTAATAGGTACATCATCTATAAATGGGTCATTTTCCATAGCTATGTTAAATAACCAGAGGGTACATCCAACATGTTGATATCATGTTGATCACCAAAGTGCGGCTCCCATTTGGCAGCGATTTTTATGGAAGAAGTTATAACCACCTCCTCTGGCGCATCATTCGGGTGATGTCGCAACGTCACTCTGCGAGGTCTTTCCATTAACCATCACTAACCATAGTTCATTCAACATAGTTACCTGGTTGGTGGTTGAGCCACCCCCTGAAAAATATGAGTTCGTCAGATGGGATCATCATCCCAACTAATGGGGAACATAAACAGCAATTGTTCCAAACTCCAAACCACCAGCCAGTTACATAAAAACATCCGACCCACAACGTTAAACACGACCAACACGACAAAACACGACCAACCCGCCTGTGTCAATCACATCCACCATCACCTGTCGTTTTGAGTCGTCATAGCTTCCAGACACACTGATGCTGCCCTCGTGCGTGAACCTCAGGCCATGTGCCACGCCACGGCGGCTTGAGCTAGGAACATGGCACCCCAAGCACCCAAATAAAGTGACATTTCCTCTGTACATATGATCTACCTAGAAACATTTTATATGGAAATTACCATTTTATATTGTGTGTGCATGTATGTGTGTACTATAGTACTATATGTGTCTATCAAAAATTGGGCATCCCCTTCAAAATCCTCAGAAATGCAATAAACATAGGGATTGAAGTTGATTTTGATGACAGAAAACTAGTGGCGAGGGCACACTTTGGTGCTCCAAAGGTTTTTGTTCTATCTAACTTGAGGCAATTTCCATTGCCCATATTGCCCTGTTTGATGACGCCTTAGGGTGACCAAAATTTGGTGTGTACCCAAGGTTAAACTAACCTAGATGTGGAAAAACCAATGGTTTCTACAGAACATGATCTAGACATGGTGGATTGTCCACAAGTAGTAGTAGACCCCAAAAAATCATGGCAGAAATTGAGAAGTTCCATGGCGGAACTGTTCGGTGCGAAAGCCCCTTGCGATGCCCCCCTGGGGCTTTTGCAAAACTGGTTAAACTTGGCGTTATTTTTCCATCTCTGATCCGTAGACTCCGAGCCTCCGGAACATATGGGAAAATTATGGGAAAATCCAACTAGACAGCCCTGAAAATCTGCATGTTCAACAGCCAAATCATCGATTTAAGAAAAAAAAAGCTAAAAAATCGTCACCAAAAGCTGACTTAGTTACCCAGGACTTGTTGCTTCTCACCCCGCGTTGCCTGTTGGAACACTTTTACCTAACACCCCGCAGCTGTTAATGTAGTATAAAAAATAATCATAAAACTCATATATTTTGATATATGTTGATGGTTTATAGCACCCATCGAGTATTTTTATTGGGGATGGTGGAAGAATTATGGCACCATTGCACCATCAGCAAGTGATACCAAGTGACTTGATGGCATTCGTCACCAAGTTGTAAATCACTTGAGTCACTCTGTAGGCATCAGCCTCGATGATTGGCATTGGCTGAGTGAGATTGTTCAGCAACTTCACACCTCACGGCCCGAAAGGCTCCCGCAAATCTGATCCAATGGAGGGAGACATCGACAGCCATCCGACCTGGCTCAATAAGAATTATATAAGCTGAAAACAGCCGAAATACCATCTGGTAATTTAACAGTTTGCTATTGAAAATGGTATATAATTTATAGTGGATTTACCCATTGATAGCATGGTGATTTTCCATAGTTATGTTAGTTTACCAGAGGGTAAGGCCTCCCATTAAAATACTTACCTCTAAAGCATCATTCCACGCGACGGGAATCGACGTGAGGTCATGATCAAATACTATTCAGACATACAGTATGCCGGTATCCCCAGTTGCAACAACCAACAGGCCTACTTCCAACACCCCAAATACGTTGGGGGGGGGACTGGGGGAAAATCAAGAGGTATACAAGTGAAATTGGAAAACGTGGCAGTATTTTCGCCAAAAAAAAACAACTTGGAGCAAGCCTGAAAAGCCAAATGATTCCCTCAATCCACCATCACATCACAATCATCATAATCATCATAATCCCAATCTAGTTGATCTAACAAGAACATGCCATGGATTGGTTTTTGCGGGAACCATAAAAACACCGGTTGGGGTCCCATTGGAGCCCCATAAAAAATGGGAAAATCTCCATGGTTTCCGGTGAAGATTATCCCAACCGATCCATTGAAATATTAGTGTGTTTACTCAATGGGAGATCTCCAGGATCCGATTTATTGGAGGTATACGTTAGTATCATATGTTTGGCCATATGAATTGGGGGGATATCCCCTGAAATTTAGGCCTGAAAAATAGGCCAAACATATATGGTAGGTACCTCCAATCTATCGGTTCCTGTGGCCATTGATAACAGTTTGCTATGGAAATCTCCATAGGTAAATCATCTATCAATAGTCCATTTTCCGCTATGTAAAAATTTACCAGAGGGGAAACATATCATCATTTCCCAGCATAACCCCATGATATCCCAGAAAAAAGTCCCATTAAAAACCCACTACTCTCTGGTAAATTAACATAACTATGGAAAATGACAATTTTTAATGCGTAAATCAACTATAAATGGCCATGTTCATTAGCTATGTAAGCGTTTACCAGAGGCTAAACCTCATAAATCCCGTGAAAAAATCACAACGACACAGCCCACTTTTCACAGCGCCAACCAGGGCCTGGTGAGAGCGAATGGGATCCTACCTCCCCACTTGCTTGCTGGCAAAGGGTAATCACCTCTTCAACGATCGTCCTGGGCCGGAAAATTTGAAAAAGCCGCGATATGCCGCGATGTTTTCTGAATGTTGGATCCATATTTTTTTTGTTGGGCTTTCATGGGAAAGCCATGTAGATTCTATAACTATATAACTTATAACATACTATAAAATCACCATCCCCGTATTCTAAAACATTCAATACATATATAATACAATGGCAAAAGTGGTTCTGAAGGTAGAACACGTGGGTTAATTTAGCTGGGGCTTTGTTAAAACCGCTGGAAGGACGAGGGTCCCAGGGTCACTACCACCAGGCCCCCCAAAGTTTACTCTTCGGTGGAGGCTTCGATCCGTTCAATCCCGAGTCATGACAATCATTACATCGAATTCCTATGAATTCCTATTGAGATTCAGTGAGATTTCAGAATTTCAATGGGGCATAATGGGATTTAATGGGATTCAAGAAGATTTACTGAGTTTCAGTGAGATTTCATGGCTTTCGTGGCTTTGATAACGGGTTTCATTGATGGTTTTCAATGGGATCTCTCATGGGATTTCGTGGGGTTTGATGGGAGGTGGCATTCAATGGGTTACAGAATGAACTGGTTGGTGGTATACCTACCCCTCTGAAAATATGAGTTGGTCAGTTGGGATGATTATTCCCAACTGAATGGAAAAATAAAATTCATGTTCCAAACCACCAACCAGCAAATGATACTGATATTATTTGGTTTCCCACATGATGGGTTTTATCACAGTTACAACCCGATCATTACCCTACAAGGTGCTGGCGTGCTGCCCCCCAGTTATAAGCTGGTTTATAACATTTTACAACCCCCCGCAAGTATAGATACGGATCTATCATGATATATCTACCATAAACCCAAGTTACCCTCTGGTAAACTAACATAGCTATGGACAATCACAATCTTTAATAAGTAAATCAACTATAAATGGGTGATTGTTCATCCATTTTCAATAGCAAACTGTTAGTCATTACCTGAGGGTATTGGAGTTATAAACGCACCAAGTTATATATCTACGGGGCACCACCACCTTGTTGTTGTTGTTGGTCATTCATGTAAATGTTCAAGTCCGCGGGCTCAGTCCGTGAGAGGTTTTGAAAAAACTGGTGATTGGAGACATCTTTAGATTGCAGCCCAAAGATAGGTCCAATGGTGTAAAAACCGTATGGTTTTTTGATATGGATATCCTCACATATGTAACCTGATTATTTGTTAGACTTCTACCAGGCGAGGGTTTTGAAGATGTGTCTTTTGATGTTTTTGTCTCTGTCACCGATTTTTTGATGGATCAAATGGAAACTTCAGGACCCTAAAATGGAAGGTCCGGAACATTCCTGACCCATATTTTTTGCCATATCTTGTGTGATCTTAGCCTGAACACAGCCCTGAGGAAAAAAATGCCAAATAGTAGTACCTCCGTCCGAAAAAAAGGTCCCTGTTGCATGGCCATTGACTAAAGGATACTAAGTCGGCTAAGTCAATAAACATCAATAAACCACAATAGCCACCAACTGTTGATAAATTCCTCCGAAATCTGAGATTTTTAGCTTCCAGCATCAGTGGAGTTGACCGATGTAGGAAACTTATGCGAACTAAGCCCGTCTATTCTTTAAACGTGGCGAAGTGGTGAATCAGCAATTTGTAGGGACATGGCTTCCAGTTGCTGATTAGTTGTGATGTCCATTTATAAATGATAACATCATCATTGTTATCATCGAACTAAATGGGGGCCATTGCTTCCACAGCAGATTGTGAAAAAAATAAACGTAGGCGAAATCTTCATCAACTACCCAACAGAGCTTCGTAAGTGGTTTGTAAATGTTTATAATTCATAACCCCTATAATCCCATTAAGAGTGGGGATGTTCCATTGGAATACCCTCTGGTAAACGTTAACAAACAACGATGGAACATCACCATGCTGTTTTGCTGGGTAAATCAACGAACTAAATTTTTAAATGGCCATGGCTTCCAGTTCGCAAACTGTAAACGTTTACCGGAGGGTAACTGGGAGTATAAGCTTCATATCCATCTATACCCTCTGGTAATGGTGGTTTAATATCCATGAAAATATCCATTCATGGTGGTTTAATATCCAGTCACTGGGAGTTTTGGAGCCGTTTTAAGCCATTGACGAAGTGGGGTTACCCCGCCCGCCCCAATTTTGGGCTGAACACCAGGTCACTGAAGCTGAACCTTGTCTTTGGACATTCGCATCTTTCGGTCATGCACCAGCACAGACCTGGAAGGGCTGGAAGGGTCACAGCTTGGATATTCCTGGAAGGGTGTACCAAAAAAAGGGGCTGGAAACGCAGAAAGGTGAGAGTGAAAAAGTTTTTTGGAGTGTGAGATAACTACCCTCTGGTTATTTAACCTAGCCATGGAAAATCACCATTTTTAAGAACGGTAAACCATCTATAAATGGGCAATTTTCAATAGCTATGTTATTAAATGTTAGTGTTTTGGAGGGTATCAGTGGGATCTTCATTTTATGAACAGAATCTTACCGGTACATACGATCCCATCTCCTACTAGACCAAAACATCCCCATTGCCCCCAATGATGTGGTGTCATCCCCCAAAAAAGGTAGCGGTGGCTTGGACGCCTGGTCGTGTTTCTTGGCATAGTTTCACCCCATGAATACTACAGTTATATATAAATTGTAGATTATATAGATGTTACCATAAAGAATGATTTGCAAAACATTATTATCACTAATTGTTGAAATTATTGTTATTATTATTATTATTTTATGACGACGATCATTACTATATATTTTTTTATATATGAACAGTGCAGTTATATATTCGTTATATCTACACTATATTCAACATAGCTACGGTAAACGAGGACGCCACCTTGTATAACGTCAAATGGTCTCCACCAAAGAAGAAACACACTGCCGCATCGCTTTGCAACCCATAAGCCTTGACTCAATTTTTGATACTTGCATATCTTTTGCATGGGCTCACACTAAACCAGTGTAAACAAACATGTCATCAATATGTCTGTAATGAAATTGCTTCAGGATTTGTATAATATATATATATATGTGTATGATATACATTATCTTACAAGCATGGTTGTTTTACACAAAATATCTTGTAACACAAGTTTCATCAACTACCTTCAGTAATCCTTGGAGTGTGAAATTCTTCTCATCATGGTTTTGTTTATCTATTTCGATATCTACAGTGCCATTTAACAAAAGAGAACATCATATGGCAGTGTGTCAAAACCTTGTACCCCTGTAGTTCACATCAAAATAGCTTGTAAATGGATGTTCATCCCCCTAAAAATGGTATTAATAGGTATTGATCCATAGCCATATCATGGTTTTTTCAAAGCAATAGCATCAACAAAAAATGAACCACATCAAAGCCGAGTTTCGCATCCATAATGTTACCTTGGATGATTGCGAAAGATCCGGGGCACAACAAACAAAAAACACGCAACACAAAACAAGTCCCCTCCGGTAATCAAATATGATCAATATGGCAATGGAAAATTCATCATCTATAGATGAATCAAATATGGTTTGCTGGAAAATCCATCATCTATAGATGATTGTCCCGTATTAAAACGCCTTCTGTTTTGGGGATTTTCATGGATTTTCCCATTGGGAAGCTGCCAAGAAGAAAAATCGAAGATCCAACAGTTTTGCTCCAGGTCACTCACCATGTCCAACAGCCGTTTGGCGCAGTTTTGCATCATGGACAGCGGCTTTTTGACGCTCAAGGGGACCTCCGTGTCATCCAACAAGCTGCTGCTCAGCCCGGTGATGCCATGCAGGGGCGACTTTAACTCGTGGCTCAACATGGCCATGATCGAAGCCTTGCGCGCTTCAAGGTCCTGTTCTAGGCGGATTTCTATGGTTTCAGGGCGGATTTCCATGGTTAGAATTCAGTCCAATAATATGGAAACCCTGGCCCCCCAAAAAAACATCAGTGCTATCTCCAATGGTCATTTATAGCCAATCTCTTAAAACTAGCACGCACTTCCAAGTAAACATCTAGACTATGTTAAGCATGAAGCTGCGAGTTTCACCGCTACCGATGACTTACCAATGAAAAATTTCCGTCTCAAAAAAAGCACGTGACTCAAATAACTTACCCTCTGGTAATTTAACATAGCTATTGAAAATGGTCATTTAGTTCGTTGATTTATCCATATAAAAATGGTGATTTTCCATAGCTATGTTAATTTACTAGATGGTAATCAACAACCATGGCGGAAAAAATGTGTTTTTTTTCTACAATCATATGATGCTAACCCCGGATTCCGGGTGAAAAATCATTTGTTGATGGACTATCGGGAGCGATGTCGTCAAATCCACCATACTGTACGGTGATATCATGATGTTAATGCCGGTTTTTTAAGGGGAACACGGTTGTTGAAAAAAGGAGAGCGCAAATTCTTATATGCTCTTATAACTTATCACTAGTTTGGGGCCTCAGGGTTTGAAAACACATGTCCTGCGCGGCCCGGTTTTGATGCTACATGTCCCAGGGACGCTGGATATGCCCAAAGAATGCTAGGAGTTTGTGAGGTAACTTTGACTTTTTGGGGGACCAAAAAAACCTTTTGGCTTTGCAAAACATCATCTAATATGGTCAACATCAATCTTCGGCAATCTTCCATTTCCCGCCCAACATGATGCGCGACTTTCGATCGATTGGGAAACTCAATTTGTAGCTCCAACTGGCTCCCCGTGGAATGAAGAATATAGGAATCATATAGTGATAGCCGTAGCTCCTTACCCCTCCCTGCTAGCATGCCGACTTAGCTAAGTGGTAAACTTCCATGTTGCTCGGTTTAACCATTCTGTTGGTAAACTCCCTATTTTGGCTTCGAACTACCACCACCAGACCGGAATCCACAACAAACACCAGTCATCGTCCTGGAGTTTAGCTTTACATCACACTACCTATCATAAATATCTGGTTGGTGGTTTCAACCATCTTGAAAAATATGAGTCAGTTGGGATGATGAAATTCCAATATGATGGGAAAGTCATTCAAAATTCCATGGTTCCAGTCACCGCCAACCAGATATTCACACGAAAACCACCTTTATTTCTCAACCGTACATTCCCATGATTTCTCATTTCTTGGCATGGCATGTTTATCTCCATCGCTTCCACCATGTTGAGCTGATGGCTTTCACTGGTTGGTGGTTTCAAACCCTCTGAAAAATATTAGTCAGTTGGGATGATTATTCCCAATATATGGAAAAATAAAATTCATGTTCCAAACCACCAACCAGTTCAGTTCAGCCCAATGCCCTTGGGCCGTCCTTGAGTTTGGTGATGTCCTGTCCGATGCAAATCGTGCCCACCGTCTGCCCCGAGGAGGCCAACGTGGGAGTGACGGTGACTAAAAGAGTCGCCTGCAGATTCTCCATGTCGTCCACTAGGCCGATCTCAAAGAGCTCCATGGCATTACCTGTTGATAAATCCACCAAAAACGGTGAATCCGTAGGGAATATATATACCTGGACCTTTGAAAGGGCCACTTATTGTTGCACGACCAACTTTTGTTCTCCAGAGCAACTTTTGTTGAACGAAGTCAAATGCCAACTTTTGTTGGCTCTCCAGCCCAACCTCTGAATCTGGGTTTGCAACAAAGCCTTTTGGCTCAATTCATGCAACCCTTGATGCCTTGGGATGCCAACAATGTATTTGCCAGGAACTTAAATCTGGCAGAAAATCTTTGCAGAGCATTACATTTAAGATATACAAGATGCAGATCGATATGATATCAGTGTGTGCTTGTGTGCGCATGGAGTATCCTTTTCTGTGTGTGCAATGCAGCACCCCGCAGGCATTTTGATTTGCTTTGGTAGCAGTTTGCACCCTCCCTGGGTCTTCCTTAGGGTTGGTTCCTGGAATGGCTGAACCTACGCAACCTGAACCTCCGAAGCTTCCTCGGCGCCTTACGCCCTCTCAGCTGGATGTTGTAGAGAACCTGGTGAAAGCCCTTTCCAGAAATGATGCCCTGAAGTGCCAAGTTTTGGAATTGAAAGATTTCATAGTGTGGAAAGGGGCCAAAAAAGTTGATGGAAAGGGGAGAAGGTCCATGAATTGTCGCATGGTGTGTGCCAACCTGTGTCTTATGGAGACATGCATGCGCTCCATTGCTTCGTGGGATGGTGTCACTCAAGTTGATATCATGCACTGGATTCTCATCAATGTGTTGAGCAATTGGAAGGCCAGGGAATTATAAACCATTACCCGCATTACCCTTTTTAATGTCGGTTGCCATCTCACCTTTTCAATGTTGGGAAAATGACATCAAAAACATCTATAGATCAAATACGGGGTTTTTGAATGGCTTTTGATTATCCCTTGAAGGTATCGACTGTATCCTCTGACATTGCTAGAGCTGGGGCCATGGTGATCAAGAAGATGTACAAGCATGTTCGCCGTTTACGCAACCGGTCTGGCAAACAGAGGAACCGAGACCTCAATGTCCTAGCTGAACCTTTGCTGAAGTTTTACAAGTCCAAACCATCTTGAGTAATCCTGAGTATGTCATCCATTTATCAATGTGTTCCCCATTTTTGCATATTTTTGCAATGTTTTCATCCTTTCCCCAGAGTACCGTCCCAATCTCTTTTGCGACCTGCTGAGAATTTGTTGCCTGACCAAAACCCCGACGAGCCTGATGAGCCTGAACCCAGTGATGATGCTATGGAGGATGATGACAACGAGGGGGGGGAGAGCCAGGAGAGTGAAGAGAGTGATGGGGAGATTGTTGGAACTGACATTGATTCTGGTTCTGATGCCCAATCCCACACAGGTCAAGATGTACAAGGTTGCCTTGAGCCATCAGCAGTTGTGGTTTCAGAGGAAAGTCCATTGGGATCGCAAAGCGGAACACCTTTAGTGGCCGTTGAACAAGTTGTCCTTCAACATCCTGATGGTTCTTCTGAAGTTTATGAACTAGATGCCAACCGGGATTCCAACATTCCACCGGAGAAGTTGCCTCTTGTGGGCACAAAAATTGGGGAACACCCTGCTCCATCAGTGTCCGTTCCAGGCCTTATTTTTTTAAAAAAAATTGGAGCAAAGAACAGTTCATAGAACAAATATCAAATAATGTTGATTCACTATATTTGTACGATATCCGCCTTTCTAATCTTAGAAACCAATCCATTCATATTCCCCGAAATGTCCTTTTACTTGTCTTGCCCCAGGTGGCAAACCTGACCTGAAAGCCCTGAAGAAGAAGTTGCAGGAGAAGGTCCTGGGGAGGAAGCCTGTATGTATGGACGCAATCATGACCGTACCACTTGAGTTTGATGAAGCCAATGTTGCTTAGCATCACTTGAGATTATAATATGAACATGGTGTTCTCATTTTTTGTGAAACACATTTGTTACAAAGTATTCTGATATTCTAAGGTTCTCGCGACGCAACTCAGCAAGATCTCTGAGGTGGGGTTTGGGGTTCTAAAATTGTTTGGGGATTCTTTTGCACCTTACAACAATTTTTGAAAAGGTTTGTCTGAGAATCATTGTGCATACCCTGCGCATACCATGTGCATATACCCTGTCTAGGATGTGGTGGAAATTTGCGAGAGCCCCGCCAAAGCATGTACAAGTTCCGCTGGCCATGTCAAAACCCCTCCTGTTTCTGATGGGCTTAGTCCTGAATCGCATCTTTGTTGCAAAGTATTTTTTTGATTTTTCTGTCAAACAAAAATCAAAAGATCTACTGTACAAAGAGAATTCATATTTCCACTTTGCTCAGGCACATGCTTCTCCATGCTCGCACTTTGAAGCTGGGTGAGGCTAGTGAGGAGGAGAGTGACCCACCAGAACCACCAATCAGACGAGAGCACCAAAGGGACTTGAGAAATGGGCAAGCTAAGGGACGGGGGAAGGGCAAGGGACGGGGAAAGGGAAGGGGACGTAAAAGTGCGAAAAACAAAGAGATAGAGGATCTCCCAGAAGATGATGATGATGGTGTCCCCGTTGAAGATTTACCTGAACCTTCGACAGACACCTCCAACAATGCCACTGGAAGCCCCAACCTGGATGCCAAGCCAAAGCGTCGTGCCAAGAAAGCAGACCCTGGAACAGATTCGAAATCTCCACCCAAGCCCAAGGCAAAGGCCAAACCGAAGGCAAAGGCCCAAGGTAAGGCAAAGGCAGCAGCAAAGAAAACGGCAACACCCAAAGCAAAGGGAAAAGCCGCAGGAAAGGCAAAGGCAAAGGATTCCAAGGCTGTGATGTTGGATACAGGGGCCAGTGAAACACAGCCTCCCAGTGAAACAGAGGTTTCCCAGAGGAAACGCAAGCCAAGGGTTGCAAAGGCCAAATGTTCCAAGAGAAAGTGTGAAGATTTCAAGGTTCAACCAATTCCACTTGACGAACGTCCTGCATACAAAGAGTTTCTTTGATTGTATGGTATACCATTTCTTTTCGTGATTTCAAAGGGACCCAATCTTTTCAAATATAGAACGGGTTTCATTTTGGTTTGTTCAGGTTTGGACATGTGATTATGTGCATGGGGATGGGGATTCAAGAGTGAGTGTGTGTGTGTGCGTGTGTGTCTGTGTGTGGGTGTGTTTGTCAGCGTATTATATGATATATGATATTTCTTTCCACAAACCCAGCTAAGGTTGATTCAGGACAACGAGCACTACAAGCTGGAACCATATTGGTCCTGCAGACAGGTTGGCGTCCGCAAGGTTGAAGGAAAACACCATGCTTACTTGGTGACTGAACGTTCAATGAAGCTCAACATTGAAGTTGCCAACTACGTTGTTTCTAGGCTAATCCTTGTAATCCCCAAACATAGATAGCAAACATGAGTACATGGAAATTATATTAATCTTAAAGAATGCAATAACATTTTATCTACCTGATGGTGGATACTTGCAGGATTGCCCCACTTAGTAACTGCAAGTTGGGTTATAACCAATTTGTAAACGGGAGAACCTAGCCAGGATTAGCCAGGACTATTATAAACTTACCAAGTGGGGCAATCCTTCAAGTATCCACCTGGCACATACTTTCCACATCTTCCCACCAGTTGCGGTATCCAAGCTGGCTAAGGCTTCGTGGCTTGCGGCCCGGTCATTTGATGACCGCCTGTCACCGGAGCTTGAGCGTGATGTGGAGCAAATCATTTCGAATTTTCAAGATGCTGATCAATAGGGATCAGGTCTGTAGGGGTGTTATTATTATGTCAACTGGGGAAAGCACACAACTGTTGGGTTTCCACCATCAAATTTCAAACAAACATTTTTGAGATTGTTTCGTCCATACTTCAATCTCTGATGTGAGACCCTGGTTGTGGAACCTTGTGACTTTGAAATAGGCACAGGGCTGCTTGAGATGTACACTTGTGGTCGTCACTACAAGTTTGGGGACTCTTGCAATTGTCAAGATTGAACCCAACTTTCGAATCTCATGGGTTGGAAGACCAGAGTCGCCGGCCAAAAGAAAATGCCCTGTCAATACTTCAGTCCATATCATCCCATCCACCAATAGCAAATACACCCTACTAACCCTGGTTTGGTATGCATTGGATTTATAAATATATTTGTCCTATTTAGTGGGTAGCTGGCAAAAGGGTATGGGATTAATGGCACGAAAGAAAGCACTCAGTCTTGGCCACTCCCAGCCCGCTCAGGCCTTCTCATGGGGCGGTCCTTCCAAAGGATCAATGCGCTCTATGCCTCTCAGGACGCTGCAGGTTTCTACCCCCACCATGCTTGTGCATGCCTAGCAGCTTGGGAAATACCTTTTTGAATTTGAATCAATGTTGAAACCGTTGACAGCATTTGGGGCTCACAACAGGCTGCAGGACAAAAGGGTGCCCTATTGAAACTGTTGTGTGGGGTTGCCCGGTTCGGGCTGTCAATTTGCCATGGACTCCTGGAACATGCAGACCGTGGTGCGACTTATGTATTGTGCCCGCATCCCAAAGGCCTAAGGGTTCCTCAAGGGGCTAGGAGTTGCATTTCCCAATCAATAAAACGTATATGTTGTCCACACATTCTCACGTCTCACACCGCACATTTTTTTTGAAACCCATAACACGACATGTCCCGAACCATCACATGTCCCTTAAGCCTCAACACAACATACTAGAATTTTGCCCCCTTAGACACTGTGTGCAGGCAGTGGCTGTGTGCGTGTGCCTCCTACTTATGTGTTCCAATGTGGAATTGACCCAAGTGGCTTGGCTTGGAGAAGCTGTGGTGGTCCTGACTTGCTGAGTCATGGTGCATAGATTGCTTCTCATCAAATAAGTTGTGGGGCGTTAAAAATGAAAATGTTTAAAACCAATTGTTGGGTTTATGCAAATCCAATAGTACTAAAAACCAACCAATTCGATTGTCCTGATTCCAAGAAGAGTTGAACAGATTTCGTGATCTTGTAGAAAACTTCCTTCGATGGTTGGATCTGTCTTTCAATCCTTTTTGGCTTT